GGCAATGTCCTACCTAGGATTTATCGCTTTGATCTGAAGTAGTACTTGCTCTTTGGTCAATTTTTTAGATTCAAGGACTGTATAGACTAGACCTATGGACCATTAAACTTGCGTATTCAGCCTTCGTTGACATTCTTCCAGCAAATCATATTAGACACGCGATATAAGCGATAGTATCTACAGAGTTCGTCTACATACATATTGGCCGGATCGACATTTTTGTCAAGTCAATAAAGCGGCGACGAATGACGAGCATGAATTGGCGATGCGAAGTTCAAGACAAATCAGCTGAACTTTTCAGAACAGAGTCAGACGAGCTTAGATCGAAGGGGATTGCTGGCCCCTTGTGCAATCAAATTTTGCTCTTTTTAAGAGTATGATTAAGATTTTTAATTGATTCCACTTCTTCATAGTCAGGAAATTTTCTTCCAAGAATGCAGGTGCTTATGGACGAGTTTTCTTGCCACAAGAACACCTATTGATTTCTTTTTCCACCAAGAAGAAATCTTTCTAATGACGGAACTGCTTAGGGACAATCCCATACCAACATGGGGTATTGCAGCCGCCAGTCGTACAATCAATGATTAAACGGAGGATCGATATACCACTAGTTTGAAAAAATTCCAAGAACAAGGACAAATCATTCAATCTTGAGAATTTAAGTTTTAAGAAGCGAAATGTATCGAAATTTTCTTCAGTAACCGTGGCGGAGCTTCAAACTGAGAGAAGGAACGACTGATAACAACTACTCCTTCATAAGCTTTCTATGAATATTGCTTGAAACGGGAAATATTTGTATCAAGTGTCTCCCACCAAATTTCTTATGATATTTGGTTGAAACAGGAAAAGTTTTGCTTATATATTTCATTTAAGCTGTACACAAAGTGCGCCACAAGAACAAAATTCTAAAAAGATCACAGCATGTGGGAAAAGATCAGATTGATCAGGAGGACCAAGTTGATCTACTTCTTCATGAGGTATATGCAAGGTAGGTCAAAGTGATGAGATTTTCTCATTACCCCCCCCCCCCCCCTCCCCTCCTCGCTTCCCTACCGTGTTAAACAGTCTGCCAGCCTGATGCCAACCTAACGGCATGCAGACAGCATCTTGCTCTTTTCTTACCCCCTCCCCACCCCGCTACACGAGATCGTCAACTACCTTGATGATAAAACATCTGTCGCATCATTACCGTAGCTAATGGCTTGCAAGCGATCGCTCGGTGTCGTTCTCGTTCGCATTTGCGCCGTCGACAAATGTGTTTTGCATTGGGTACACACACAAGCTGTGCTAGCCCCCTCGGGGCCAACCATAGCCCCCTCCCTGGGCTTCAAATGAGCCGCAAACGCACAACCCAGCCAACGATGGGGCGATAATGAATAATATCCAATTGAATGATAAATCTTCTGACAGCCCGTCGTGCTGTCCCGGCTGCTTACAATACAGAGACGGGAAATAGTCTTCGCTAAGCGGCGAAAACATCGAGCCGCCGGCGGAGGTGGCAGAACGGACGACGACAGATTTTATGCTAATGCCCCTATGTGCCGCATTTCACGCCCTATGATCCGAGGCTTAGAAGCCGTACACAAATCTGACACTTTCTCTCGATTTGAACGTTTATGACACTCGAGTTGTAATTTATTTTGTCTAGAATTCATTGAAATTTGCTATTACGTGATTTACCAAGACAACAAATTTTTACCATAATGTAAACGCTTATGATACTTCATTCATATTGCACTCTATCCAAAAGCTAAAAGACGCAAATTTGCGTAATTTGCCAAGAAATCAACAATTTTCATTACGTACACGCTTATAAAACGTGCTTATAGTCTGATTTGTAGCTGAATATAGAAATATTGCGCAAGGAACAGAAACTGGTATTTTTCCACTACTTGAACGCTTCATGAAACAGTAAATTTTTGTTCTGTCCAAAATTTATTAGATTCCGCAATTTTGCGCTGAATAGCAAAAAACAGTGAAATTCTTAGAATTTTTGTCATGGCACCATGTCATACTTGATCGTAGTACCTTAATTGTATTTGGTGTCTTCAAAAAAATCATTTCAAATTTAATTTTATGCTTTTCTCATCTATTTTTTCATTCACATAGCATTTCCTGTTTCACCTGAAAGTCATAAGTAGCTTGGTAAGAAATTTTTTTCGCAGATATTTCCCGTTTCAAGTAAAACACATAAGGAGCTTGTGGGAAAAGCGACGTTCTTGTATTTGCTTCATCAGAAGTCAAAACTCTTATCGCTTAAACAGGAAGAAGTTTCGATCTCTTACTTCTTGGAATTCTAGGCTGTATTGATTCATCTGAGAATGTAAAACATTTAAGAATTTTTGTTCAAAGATGTTTTGATGGCCAGATTCGAAGGGCAGCCCAATAACTCCGTTCTTTGTGCTAAGCCCCAAAAGTCAAAACTGAACCCCTTTTCGAGCTTTTTCAAAGTACGTCCAATATCGTCTAGCACTTCATTGCCACTAAAACTGGCACCTATCGCTCAAGTATAGCGATGAACGATTGAAGCGTGCGATATGGGGCCTAGGTTGTCATTATGGAACGTTTTACTCATGGGGATTCGCACGTTTGGAAGTCGTGAGTTGTGCAGTTTGAACTTCTGTACTTGAGGCCAGGGGGGGGGGGCAGTTGGAAACAATTTCGAGCACTAAAGCCGTGAAAAATGGCAAGTGCGCAATCGCTTACGGGCCGTAACACTTCACTCACTCAGCCCCAACTAATGGTGCGGGAGATTAGGCGACGGCTTGCCCTTTGGCAAGCGGCCGTGAGCCGACGTCCGGCTCGATTTATCGCGCCAACAGTTGCCATCGCGGCCCTTATCATACTGAAATTTCGAGCCAAGTCCCCACTGTTCACTGTTCACCCCCTCAACCCCTCGAAAATCCTAAAAATCCCGAGAAAGCTGGCTCTTTTGCGCCCCTGTCAGCTGCGGTTAGATAAGGGCCAAGTTGTGGTGGCAACGGGACGGACCATCTATGACGATAAGGAGCGATACATGTGAAGATACTACGAATATCGGCGCTTCATCTAATCTGATTGTGGTTGGGTGTTCCTCCCCCCCCCCCCCTTACCTGCTGCACGTGCCATACTTCCTGTACTCTGTTCCAGTGCCTTTCTTTCCCGAATCAGAACCCCATTTCCCCATCTGCTACTGAAAATTCCCCCCCCCCCCCCCTGCACACAAACTGCTAATTCATCTCTCGTTCTTATCTCTCTTGCGCCGGCACAAATCTCCTCTATTTCTATTACAGGCTATTGCTTCGTGTCAATATTTTCCCATTAACTGCTTAGTGGAGAGAACTCGTCGCCGTCGTTGTCGTTGTCGTCATTGTGTGTGTGTGAGAGAGTCGATTACGGTATTCCCTACGGGATCCCGGAGAGGCGTTTAGCTCTAAGCGAGTGAGCGCGAAGCCGCTTATCAAGCTCGAACCACGACAGATTCGCCAACGATTCATTAATTGAGTCTCGGTTACGGTATAATTGCTCGAACGAAGCGCGCACATCTCGGGGCATCAAGAGTGCGTCAAATTTTTTTTGCTAGTCGGGGGGGGGGGGGGGGGTAATGCAACGTAAAGAATGTTGCTTCGAGAAGATGAGAAAGGTCATCTATGTACGAATTTTGGCACTTTTAGCACGTGTGACTGTTTAGGGCCTTGGGGCCTCCTCTTTTTCAATTTTTTCACTACTCTGAATATTGAACATCTTCGAACTTGCTTCTATAGGCCATGTAGGGCATAAAACCTCAGAATTTTCGCCATTTTTTCCGAATTTTCTGTAATTTTCAATGTCGAGCATCTCTATTCCCACTCTACTATTTATCTGATTCCAAAAAGTTTCCGACAATGCTCGTTGCCCTTATAAAGGTGTACGTGCTCAGTTTTATTGTGCTTATTTAGCTCTTCTTTCTGCCAAAACTTTTTTTGCTTCATTTCTCACACTTTTCCCTCGAAGCCAACAGCATCTTCTAGAACATTCTAGATCATCATCTGCTTCAGTCTATCAATTTAATTATAGCCATCGCTAAGAAAATGTTCCTACTCCATCATGATAGAAAATATCCTTCTATTTTTCATCCTTTAAAAATTGTGATATTTTGGTTATGTATAGCCCCGCAATAAGCGAGATTACCTCGGAAACGCTGTATTTCCTCTTAATCGCCCCCCGTCTCGTTAATCCTCATTTTGCAGCCGAATTTTTTGCTTCGCTTAGCGTCTTTGTGAACTTCGAATGTAGTGCAAGTTTGCGTGTGAGTGTAAGCGTCATCCATCGTTGCACATGAGTTGTCTCGCTCTTCGAAAACCTCGCATGACAAACGGTTGTCGTCGGCCCGTTATCTGTGATAAGCGTGCTGGCAGCGCCCGCGGGGCCGATTGGCTTCTCGGCCGGCGCGCCGCCCTTTTGCCGCCAGGCGGCGGGCGCTAATTGGCGGGGCACGCCCCTCGGCGCCACGCCCTCCGCCCAACGGTGGACGACGGGGCGGCCGGCGCTAAGTCACTTAGTACTGCGTGTAGTAGTGTCTATATCTTGCAAACGCATCTCTGATTATCAGCTGTGATAGGCCCTAGGGGCCTATCGGTTGCTGATCTACACATTTCACTAGGCTCTTATCGCTACGCATCGCTTTTGCCGCAATTTTTGAGATTTTCATCTGTTAGGCTTCATTTTTCTCAATTTTACCGCAATTTTTCGCAGAAACTCACAAATCTCTTTATTCAGAGGAGGTTAACCCTGCTCTCAAAGCTACCAAGCCCTACCTGGCAACCCAAGCTCCTTTCCCAGCTCATTTTTCTCCCCTCATCTCGCCTCAACTCCGCGTTCGTCTCTATGTTGTAATGTTTTCATGTCCCGCTCTCTTCAAGCCTTTCGTCTCCTGTTCATGCAAAGATTCCACTTACTGATTGCATCTTTCCGTTCCGACGAACAATATCTAACATCTTCTGACTCAATATCGAGCGAATCGATACCATCCATTTAGGATTATGACCACGGTGTTTAAAGAATACAAATATACAGACACAATAACAGCACCGACTATGTATCATCATTCAATGGGTTTGGAAGGAGATCAAAATGCTGTCATGTCTGAGATGATCATGACGGATCCACAGGATATCAATGTTAATGCCGATGATAACGTAAATATTCAATTTTATTGTAAAAATTTGTTCTAAGCATCGTTTTTCCAGGGGTTTGCCTCTCCTATCAAACCAGCTCCATTTTATACTACTCCAACGGATGCCATGTACTATACCAATAACTTCAAAGATTATGGTAAGTTTATGATTATTTCAAATGGTTCTTTGTACCCATAAATCTCTGTGAAGTTCCTCAAAAATCCGCGAAACAATTAGCATTCTATAAAAATTCCTTTTCCTCCTACTGAGAATGTTACGAAACGTTGCATATGGGTTATGAATCATGAGGGTGAGCTCTCTAGAGGCCAACTCTTTCTGTCACCTCTAGTTTTATGTTTGTCAAAATTTATTTTCTTGGGTATTTTTGAACCGATCTACCTCGCTTCTATTCATAAACACTCGAAATCCTGGAGCTAAAGGTCATTCGCAGTTTTCACTGGTACCCATCTTTTCTGTTTTGCAAGCATTTCTTTTTTGAAGTCAAAAATCTCTCAATCATTTTTCAGTGAAATTTGTGATAAGAACCCAAAACAGCTATACAAGTAAAGTCTCTTTTTGCAGCACAGGAAACTTTAGAAGTAAAGACGGGTAGAGAAAAAAAAAGGGGAAACGAGTGATAGAGCTTAACACTCATCAGAAAATTTCCTTGCAATTTCTAGAAAATTTATATCAAAAATCTCAAGAAAATTGAAAATCCATTGTGGAAAAGTCCTTCAAAGAATTTTACACATTCTACTTTTCTGAAGTTTTTCATTCTGATTGAAAGGCAGTTGTTTATCTTTTTGAACGTTAACTACTTTTCGAAACACTGTAATTGCCTAGCTTTCACCCCCCCCCCTCGTTTTGCACTCGAACATTGTGCCCCGATTTACATATACCATATGTGGAATTGCAAGCGATTCGGTTCCGGTTCATTGACTCTGCGCTTCGTGCTCAGGCTTTTCTCCTTTTGGCGAGAGAGACGAGGACGAGCCCAGGGGTATTCGCATCATTGTGCATTGATTACCCTGAGGGGAAATGAATGAGAAGAAGCTCTACGCAGCACAGAGCACGGGGGCTCCGGTGATTCAGTGATTCAATGCGCGGGACATGAAGTGCAATGATTCATTCTGAAATTTGTGAAAGAGAGATGGGTAGGGTGGGTGAAGAATAAGAGATCAGCCATTTTTGGGAGAATTCGTAAGAGTTTGAAGGTGGTTTTGGCGGGAAAATAGAAGTTCTGTTAATCGGAAACGGGTAGAAGAAAATGTAAACGCTATTTTCCGAGAATTTCTGAAACCGAGCTGGACAAGTAGATCAGTTTAGTTAAAATCAACCATTTTGAGGGTTTTTGGAAGCTTTCTGGGGGGACAATTCTGAAGGGTTTGAAGGGAGTTTTAGCGGGAAAATCGAGTTCTTATCCCCCAACTCGGAAGCAGATTAGCAAAAAAAAAAGCTCGCAAAAAAGGTTGAGTTTCAAAATGCAAGGCTGAATTACTGTATTTTGCTTATATTGAAAAAATGGAATTTTTGTTTCTTCACTCAGAAGCAGGACAAATATAAACGCGAGAAGAGTACCACTAGTTGGATTTTCTGAACTTCAGTGCCTTATGAGTTACTGTAATTTGTTGATTCAAAATTTAGGGTTGATCAGGAAATTTTTGATTTCTTCATTTCATTGAAATTATTCTTTCAGCGGGCTATATCATCAACCCATCTATGTACCAACCGTATACCCTACCAGCAACGACAGCAGCATGTTCCACAGGCGAAACGTCTTTCAATCAAATGATGGACCCATCAATGCTCGGTAAAATATTTTCTTTCAAAACGTTCAGCTATAAATTCCTCAACCAAAGTTCCCTCTTCCATCACTCTGCATGTTTTCGAATGTAACGTTCAAGTATTCAATCGATCAGCCCGTCTCGTTATCTGCCCTAAAGATCTTGGCGAACACCGAGCTATTGGCTGTAAAATTCACCTCAGCCATTTCCTCAACCCCTCGTCGGCATTAACCTGACTCTTACGGCTCTTAAATGTCTCGTTTTAGGCCAGAACACTAGCAGTGCACCGTTCTACAGTTCGACATTCAACTACCCGACCTACGACTACTCGTCACCGTTGATACCGAGGGTTCCCGGATCGGCACCGGGGACTGGAGCTGGGGCAGCATGTTCGACGAGTACTTCGTCGACGAGCTCGAACGGATCAGCACAATCGACGACAGCAACACGGAGTAAGGCCCGATCCACCGCATGTGCGTTCAGCTGATGCACGTCTATCCCAGCTTGAATTGTGGTGTGGGTGTGAGAACAATGTGCTCTATGGCCAAAAGAAATCTTGTAACTCAGACCGGGGAACTTCCTCCAGATAAGAATTATGTACAACTGTTCCACGAGATTTTGTTGACTCTAGAAGTTAGGCTTCTAAAATGGTAACTTTCGCAGAATTTGGCGCTAAGCAGGTCGAAAAGAGAAGCTTCCGCAGCACGTTCTATTAAGTTCTGCGGAAGGTTCGCTGGCTGTATGTTTAGCGGAACTTCCGGTCAGTTGTCTGCGACGGTTTTGGATAGAGTTATATTTGAAGGCATTTTTTCGCTATTTTTAGAGCGCAAAGTTTCAGAGAGCAACTCTCAAATTTAAAAGGGAGAAATATACATTTTTACAAAATTCATTTTCCTGTTCCTCAGGTTTTGGTCATCTTTCAAGACTAGCAAATTCTGCCATAAGTTTGACTGAATCCAAAAAATTTTTCCCCTCCATTTTACGCATGAAATTTTCATCCCCTGTGTTCGATGATGTCCTTACTTTGTGTGTGATTCGTGTGAGTGAATGTGAAGTCCATGCACCGTAACCCTACTCTCAATTCTCCCAAAAAATCAACTTTCCCATCTTTCAGCCGAAGGACGAGAATGCGTGAACTGTGGAGTTCAAGCCACCCCGCTATGGAGGCGAGACGGGACCGGTCACTACCTCTGCAATGCTTGTGGTCTTTACCATAAGATGAACGGACAAAATAGGCCGTTAGTGAAGCCGAAGAAGCGGCAGGTGAGAAGATTCCCTACTCCTTTTTTTCGTTTCGGAACCTACCGCACGCGTCTCTAATCAGCGCATCAATTAACATCACACCCCGATCATCTTATCAACCCACATTCATCGTTCACGTTCACGCTCGCTTTCGCTATTCGCACTTATCAGATATGTTCGACAGAGCAGAGCAGAGATTATCACACGCCCTGTGTTAGTTTACACACCTTGCATCGCAGCCGCCGCCACTCGGGTTACGGTAGCGGCAAAGCCTTTGCGGCGCTGCGCTCTACGTATGCGACGTACTCTCTGCGCGCGCCCATAAGTGGGAACAGGTTTCGAACACACCGTAGTTTGGAGACATGGATGGCGAAGTGTTGCCCGCTAAAAGAGACTTCTTACTTTCGACAAACAATGGAACACGCATTGGAAGCAACAGCCAGTTTTTTTGCTGTAGATAAGAATCTTTCAGTCTACATATGGAGCAGAACTAATTCAATCATTGCTTCTATCCGAAAAAAACAATTTCTCAAGAAAAAATTAATTTCTGAATGTGGATTGAGAAACATTTTAAGTGTAGAAAAAAGTCCTCTCTTGCTATTCTCTGCAAAAAAGCCATAGGAATTTAAAGCCATCTATCCTAATTTTATCTTGAATTTCGGATAGATAGAGTTATTACTGAGTATTTTGTAGTACAATATGTGCTTTGCACAACAGTTACGCTATTTTACGACTAAGTGCTAAAAGTGCTAATTTACACAAAATTCCTTTATTCTCTTCTTTCTGGAGCCACAAGAGTACAAACATATTTAAGTAATCAGACTTTCCCTTCAGCTTGAAATTTTTTTCTGCAGTTTAGTCGTAATATGTGACGAAAACCCCTTCCACCGTGCTCCATCTAATCTTCATAAAAATTAGTGGCACGGTTTGAAAACATTTCTCAATGCATTGTCTTCCACTTGCAGAATACGGTAGAAATACTGTTCCAAAAAAACGAATGAAAAAGTGTGATTCTAATATTTTGTTGGTAAAAATGTGGTGGGATAGGAAAGGGGATGAGCGTAGGAGAACACATTCTATTTATCTGGTAAAACTTCTTATATATACATAGCAGTGGGGAGGATTGTGAGTCCTGCATATTTGTGCGGCAATTTTAAGAGTCAGAAGGTATGGTACCTTTCGCGCTGATTTTACTTTTAAAGGTTTGGGCAAGATATGAGCATACTATCTTGTCCGCAACAATATAATACTAAGCATACTAATCCTTTAATAAAGAGTAGGGCTATGAGACAGTATGGGGATAAGAAATCTTTAATCAACATGCAAACTTTTCGTCTTGCTTTTTTTCTTCAAGCAAATGTTTTGTCTCAGTTCTTCCCTTCTTTTCCAGCTTATTCGCTTCGATTGGATAATTATTACTGGTAAAAACCGAACAAAAATGCTATACTCCTCCCTCATCCCTCCCCCCCCCCCCCACTCAGTTTTGTTTACAAGTGCCATTTGACCTCCAAATGAGGCTATGACACTCGCTGATAGTATCAGCAAGTCGTCAATTAAGAAATGCAATCCCGAAGCGGTGACGCAACACCACGAGCATCACCACGCACCACCACGCACCACCACCACCTCACCCTCACTCGGGGCGAACGCGGCGCTGTAACAGGTCACGACCTTATATGTCAGTCATCCTCACACGAGTAAAGTTATACTGTAGTCTTACTGTATTCGAGCTCCTTACAAAGTCAGAGAGATTCGGTTTCCACTTGGGGCACGGTGTGTCGCTACGTATTTGGCGTCAAACGGGGCAATGACCATGTAGCGTCATGTATTCCGTCTCAGATAAGAATCTACTTCGGTGTCTCTCAGTTGTGTGTTTCGTGCGACCTTTCAGACCTTCGTGAATTTCTCGTAAATCAACACCCCTTACAGTAGTTGGGGCTTGTGCCTCCAACCTTGAAACAACTCAGCTATGTTTGAAAAAGGTTTGAAGGTAATGCTCGCTGGGGTGAATGATTGGTCACATGGACTACTTAGTGGGTAAGGATAGGATGACAGACTGGTAGGGCTATGGATACATGATTACGGCAATTGAGTAAGGGATCTTTTTGCATGGCTAAAGGCCTTTTCTATTAAAATCAGGATACCTTTGGAAAAGTTTGGAGCACACTGATGTAGTAATACGGGTAAAGTATGGGTAGGGATATAACTTTTGGTACTTTTGAACTTCCGGTTTAACCATTTTAACGAGACAAACTATCGAGAACATGATTATCTATTCTTCACACCTGATCATTCAAAAAAATTGAATTAAAAATCTTGAATCTCCTGGGTTCCCAAGCAAGAAATGTCCCGCATTTTCCAGTACATATTAGTACATGTTGTTTTTAAAAGGAGAGATAAACAATTTTGGGTCGCAAATGTCCGAGAACTTTCTTACCAACCTAATATATCAAATTACAAATAACTTACAGTAGATTCATCATTCCGATTGTGATGAGGTTATAAAAAAATTTACTATGCATTTTGCCCTGCTAAATTTCATGCTGAATTAAACTACCTGCTCTACATAATTAATCTGATGAAATGTGTGCGACTACACACTGCGCGCGGTAACTTAAGATTAATAACTAATGGATAACTCCGAGAAAACCCGATTTGGAAAATCTGTTCTGATCTCATTTTTTGCTTTCAATAACTTTTATTTCTGTCCGTAAGCTTACGTCTAAAAAGAGGAGAAAGCACAAAAACTGCAGGGAACTGACAACTTGTAAGCACATAAGTCGTAGAATACTGCGTATGTTGTGCAGTACACCTAGTATACAACAAAAGATTGATTTTGCATTATACAATCAAATTGGATCTATACAATTTGTTTTAGTGAATTGTACACCCTGCTCTTACAGAATGCTCCCAAAATCTTAATGAGAATTTTCCGGCGCCTGATTTATTTCCAGCTCTTTCCAGAGCGCTCAAAAACGAACAGGTGTCGCATGTGTGAACTGCAAGACGAACACAACGACATTATGGAGGAGAAATGGAGGTGGTGAACCGGTCTGTAATGCCTGTGGACTCTATTACAAGCTGCATCAGGTGAGTACAAACGTCAGTTTTTTTCTTGCGCTCAGTTTGCCTCGTCTAGATCGCTGCAATATCTCCAATTAAATAGTGAATTATAGCTGCAAATCTTAGTGCCGAGAGAAAAACATGTAAATTAGTGCTGTTGATTTTTGCAAACTCTACCGTAACCCGCACCTTTGAGATAAGCGCGCAACATCCGGGAGTGTCTAAATAATTTGATTTGTGACGCGGTTTTACCACCACATTACGCATTCGGGTCAAAAGAGCAGCCGACACCGGAGTTACGAGTGGGATCGAGATTGCTTAGATAAGCATGACAGCGCCTTTTTTGCTTTGGTACTAGTACCGCCTTAAGAAAAACAGAATCGCCATCAAACATCTGTGATCGCGCTACACCTTAGTGAGAGAGAGGAATGGTTAAGAAGTTGAAGTTTTTAGGTAGAAAGACCACTTACAATGAAGAAGGACGGTATACAGACGAGGAATCGGAAGATGTCGACGAAGGGGAAGAAGCCAAAGGTTTGTGAAAATAGAAAACATATTCCTTCTCAAAAAAACTAAATCTTTGTGCTTGTAAATAATAGTCGAGTATTTTGGTACGGATTTTCCACATTCCGCGGGACCTCGATCTCTTTGTTATGTTGGAGTGATGACAAAAATAAACATAAACTGATCAGGAATTGATGGAAAAAATCGTAACTTTTCGCTCGCATGTAGAATAGTTATAGTTGAATTATTTCTGTACAACATGGAGTTTGCATATTCCACCCTGGACCCCAACTTCTCAATATAGATAATTAGTGATAGTACTAATGCAGACAAACCAATCAGTGCTTGGACACGTACACATTACATCACCCACATAAACTCAAAAAAGGAGATAATGAGAAGAACCGTGCTGAACTAAGCCTACAGGCACACATGTCGTGAGATGGCACGCATGGTCTGCACTACACAAATTGAGGTACAAATGACTCGGCTGTGTAGTCTTAGGTCATAATATGTACGTATTTACTTCTGATAGCCTTTTCTGCATCAGTCTAGTTACAATAGCTCTGTGGCTAAAGGAGACTCGGGGTTCCGCGCGGAATGTGCAATCTTTATGCCTTTTTATAGCTTTCCACTTTACTATTTAGATGAGCATTTTCCAGGCTGAAGACGCGTCAGCATGGGGCAACATGAAGCCAGCACCGATGTATGATATGAAATTAATGCCTACACCGTACTTCCCTGGACAGCCCACCTATCCAACGGGACTATTCTTCCAGCAATAGTTACAGCTTCCCGAAAGGAGCAGCTGTCCCTATTCACTTCTCGCCCGAGTTTCTCCCCGTGCCTACTATTACTATCACTTTTGCCTATAATTTTGTACCAATTTTCCGATACTCGTCTAGAGTTGTGATTTGCTCGAAGTCCACACATAGAGATATACAAGCATATCCTTCCTTGCCCATAGACGGCTGTCCAGTAGGAGAATTTCCAGTTCCAAATACGCAATTGCACACATGTTTCCTCAATGTGCAGTTGTGCTATGTATGTACAGTATATTTATTGAATTTTCGACTACCGTATCACTCCTACTCTCTCCCTCTTCGTTTTGAACATATTGGGTAATTTTTTTGGACTGAGAATGTGGTTCAAAAGCACAGTGTACGGTGCAATAAGAGTTTGTATCTCCTCGTCCCCTCCCCCCCCCCCCCCCCCCCGCCAAAATACATGCCGTCTATATGGAGTGCGTCGAGATATCATCCTTTCCAACGAGAACCTCTTCCAAAGTTGATGCTACCATATACGTGACTGAGTTCTTCCTGATTGATTGTGATCGTTTTCTAAACCATTGAAAAAACATACCTTATCTGATCTTTTTTTCTTTGATTTCTGAGATTTTTCTATGTTTTAATAAAAATAATTTATGTGTATTGTGAAGCGTATCGATCAGACACGGGTTACTGTAGCTTTTTCGCATAGTTGAGGGTTTCCGCTGTATGGTCACGGAGTTAAAAACAGTAAGACATAAGCTTCATAGGGGTTATTTGAAAAGCTGGTAAGAATATAAAATGATCTCGTACTGTAGGGCGACCTACAGAATTACGGTAGGTATACGGTGGGTAGATCAATACTTTAAGTTTGCTCGAAACGTCGCTTAAAAGTTTTTTGACATCAATGTTACGGGTTTGAGGGAGTGTTTTGAGTGTTTTCGCCTACACAACGATCGGATGTTTTCGCAACGAAGCTTCTTCTCAGTGGCCCCGCAAGAAGACGGGGCGCTTGGGCGCAAAAAGCGCGACATGCGCTGCAAAGTTCATGTGCTGTATGGGGTGAAGCGCGTTTTTGCGCCTCGCGGAAAAGCGGAAAAAACCCAATCGAGGGGCATTATCGTGGAAAGTTTGTGCCCCAGGAGCGAAAAAACGAGGTGAAATGCGAGATAGCAAATGAGGACGAGTGTGTTGCTAGCAAATTGAGTCCTAAACTCAAAATAGATACAGTTGGGGACCTGAAACATGTTTGAATTCGTGCTTATTTATCTATTTTATTTTGTGCGCTCATGGTGCGCCAGAATAGAACAGAGATTTGTGAGAAAGTAGGTACAAAACCGTTTATAAAAAAAGAACTTCACCTATTAATTTGACAGAATGTGGTGTTCTCGCAAAGTATAAGATCTCCCTTCCCCGGAACCCGTCAATGAGTCATTAAACAGTTTACATCTAGAAATCCGAATATTTGAATACACAGCTAAATATTTTCTTTGATTTTCTGCAGCAAAACACACATAACCACAACGTTTCCTCATTTCTAGACGTTATTAGGAGGATGGAAAGAAAGCCGGAAATAACGAAAATAAGCCGTACAGATGTACTGCACCTTGGAAGAAAGATCAGAGAAATTTGTTAGATGGTAAAATTTTATGTCGAGTCAATGGATAATATGAGTTGGACTACCTGCCTAATTTCTTGGATCACAAAATTCAGCTGTTCACACAATTGTTAGATTTTTTAGAAGTTTCAAGATAAGATCACCAAATTCTAGATAAGTTTTCTGTTGTCAAGTTTGATGGTTTGAAATCTCGCCATACTTGACCGTTTGAGATTTTTGTTTGATATCACCAATTCTACCTGGTTTCTACACTTACTCGCTAACACTTTCCCCTTTACTTGAGCAAGCTTGGAAGTTGAAGCCGTAAAGAAGCTGTCGCTTCAAAACAAGACTTGAAACTCAAATATGCTTGGAAAAACTTGATCTACACTGCTAAATTCGCAAACTCTTCGATAACTTTGGGTTTAGGCTCAGAGAGTTTTGGCAATTATCACGATTTGGTACCTTACTAGAAACTCAGAATTTTGTCTGAACAATAATTGGTCAAAACCTTGTCAAGATTTTATCTGCTCTTTTCGCAAAGCATGAGAAATGTTGACATCGAGCATCTCAGCCACTGACAACAAACAGTTGTGCTTCACAAATCATCTTCGATCCATTTCGCAATTACTTACCAATAAAAACTCCCTGATCAATCTTAGCGTAGGATTTACGCTTGCGTCAATTGTCAAGTTGGCCATTACTCCAGAAATGCTGCTCTTTCGTAAAACTTTCTTACTTCATGTCTTAGGGTAATGGTTATGGAGTACGGTCAAAATGAAGAGTGGTAATTTAATTACTTACGGTCATAGCAATTTGCCCATTGGCAATATTGTTCGCCCTTCTCATATCAACACATCACAATCCGGTAAAATTACCTAATTAACTGGTCTCGGTAATTTTTTGATTCGGCGCAATCTTCTCGTCAAGCTCTTTCGTGGGCCGAACGCCAGCGGCAAACTGTGCAGCTGCCAGCGATCCCGTTCCGATTATTTGAGTTTTTGAGGGAGAAAAAAAGGGAAAAGGAACTCATTCCATTGCTCGATGTCAACTCGTTCGTCAAGAATGACTCTGCAGCCATTTTTGTCATCCATTAATCACTGGAATAGTTCTTGTTAGTGGAGCTGCTTGCCTGCGTCTCCTCAACCTCTTCTCGTTCCTTATCGTTCATCATAGATCGCAATCTCCCGCCTCGGCGCGACGAATCGCTGTGCTGACGGCGACGAAGCGACGAGCCACTTCGTGTTCAGGTGTAAATGGACATAAACAGGGACGTTAAAACGATAGTTTTGAGCTGGTAGAAATTTTATGAGGCGTTGGCCATTGAGACCACCTTCTGCAGGTTTCCGCGATATTACACAAGGGACAAAAGCTTCACAAAAATAATCTAGAAAGAAATGTTGAGCTTTTATGCAAATTTTTGCTATGAAAAATGATCGTGCAGGTTTCCTCCAATTTTCAAAGACACTAAATGAGCAGGCAGCTCCAGCAACTCATTTTTGTTACTTTTAAAAATGGCTGAAGTCTGCTGCAAAAAGAGTAATGTTTTTAGTCACGACTAATAGAGGCGAGCAGTGGATTGCGATTACCAGGCCTGAAATCTGATACTGTTAAGTAATTAAGCTCGTTCAAAGTCTCATACATTCCTTCGGACCACGATTCTAGCCAGCCTAATCTGCTCTCTTTTCAGATTCTTGATCGGATAAATTTAAATTTAGAAAGCGATGAAAATAAGCCACAATTTTTCATGCTACCGATCATTTTCGACAAACTCCTATTTACAAAAAGAACTGGTCTTTAATCACCACAGAATCTGATTGGCAAACACAATACATGCTGAATTTTTCTTGACCGTACACTACATAATCGTACAAAATAACGAAATTTGTAGGGTCTATTACAAATATGTATTAAAATCTCCCGTTTGAAGTAGCTCCTTTTTTCTATCTCAGCGTTCTTCCACGTGCAAGTTTCATTCCAAAATGCCCGAGCATTTTATTCATATTGGCAAATTGAATTACTGATGTTCAAAGAGCTGTATCTTATTCCATGCCTGATCTCAGAAGCGTCCAAGTATCAACTCTTTGAAAATCGAACAACAAATGTAACAAATCGAATCTGCCTTTTGCCTTATTTCTTTCAATGAGGAAAAAAAGCGCAGAGAAAATACTCCATAAGCATAATGAAGACAAGTTATAGGGATTTTCAAACTCTTCTCACTTTTCCACTCCATTTCTACAATCAATGATATAAAAACAACTGTGGATGTCTCAAAAGTAAGTACAACTTTCAATTGCTGATAACTCTCTTCCCGCGAGGTCCTTCGATTAGCTTTTCCTTCAGTACGGTGACTTCATCTTTGTTATACGGTATAGAGCAATTCACTTCGCTCTTCATTACGTAGGAATATTGTAGAAACTTTCAGCATACAATCGTCACTGTGAAACAGGCCGCTTATGAGAAGGTCCCAAAAATGTGGAAGTTGTGTAGCATTGTTTTCGAACATTGATTTTATTTACAACTTTTTTATGAGTTTTTCAAGGGTTTTAAACGGTTTAGTCACATTTTTGAGAAACACTGAGAAAATGTTATTCCGGTTTGCCTGGCATGACTTTCGGTAAGTTGGCGTGTGCAAATTTCATATTCAAAATCTGCGACTCAGTTAGCCTAACAATAAAGTTTACGGCTCGTTGAGTATCTATACTGCAAGAATATGTAGTACTGATGGCTCAAAACCTCTTCAAAGTTCCTACCGTGATCCTACAGTAACGAAGAGCGGTAAATGATTCGCTACATACTATGTATTTAAATTAGAGCCTGCTCTACCGAACTGCACTTTAAGCTGAGCAAAAAACTTTGTAAAACGAGAGATATTATCATTTAAAAGGGTGTACTTACTTCTGGGACACCTTGCATACATATTATTACAATGACTTATACAAACTTCTATGTTTACTTATCTTAACAGGAAAATCAATCAGATAAATAACATTCCTCTCGACCCGCTCTCCGTCGAGATACGCTAACAACCCCTACCTGAAAGGTGTACGCCGCAGCGCGAGGGCCCCCAGTCACAGCGCGCGTGGTAGGCATCTCTGGCTCTTTTGCATTTAACCGAGAAAATCTTTCGCCTTTTACTAAAGATTTCCGTGCAAAGGTGCATTTTATGAGTATTGAATAATTTTTGGAATCCCCTCGAAAGAGCGGGATGCAAAGACTGGAAAGAATCATCGTCAATAAACAAAGCTTTATTATAAGAGGGAAGCAATATCATATAAGAATACGTAATGTGCGAATGAAATGGAGGGATGATAAAAAAAAGCGCAACACAAATATCAGAAAAAGACACTTCTACTTTTCTTTACACTGAAACAGCCATATGGAAGAATTTACGTTCTGAATTTACATTCAAAACTGAATATCATTGACAGTACCTCTGTGTCGATTTTTGCTCTAAAAGTTTTCGTAAATCAAGACAATTAGGTAAAAAGAAAGCGAAGAAGTACAAAATGGGCAATTTTTTCACAAGCGTATCTTCGGCTTCTATTGCACTGATGAAAGCTCAGCTTATCTCTGTCTTCCTTTCTGCCAGGATCAGGCGATACACGTAAATTAAAAGTGAATTTGATGTACTGTCTGCTGTCCCTGCGTGTAAAATATGCCTTAGTCAGACAAGCTTGGGTACCATAAAAAGGCATATCTACATTTCTCTCTCAGCCTAACAGATGTATTTATTAGTTAGTAGTTATGTAGTTTTTATGTAGTTTTTACCTCATATTCAAAAAAGAGCAGTAGAACAAAAACAGAAAAATTATCACAGATCAGATACAATTTTGACATACCGTTTGAACCCTATCTAGATAAGTTGAAATTGGGAGTGCTGCCATCGTATAGGTGACTTTCCAAAGTTGCCCGCCATGGAAGAAGTGGAGGTGGGTTTGAGAGGGCAATACATACAATTAACTTGCTGAGAGACCATTCATTCTTGAAAAGTATGTTAAGGGTGCCTTCACACCGCGCCGGCAGCCGCCGCTAGCCGCCTATAGCCCTTTTGCGCACTATCCCAGTATTCCAAGGCCTTTCCAGAAAGTTAAAAGTTTACGCTATGTGTGATCAGCATGCCGAATCACCCCACTAAACCAAAGTTGAGCAAGATTTGTGGTTTCGATATTAGGATCCGAATGATAGAATGGTTCTCAAAGGCGGCTAGCGGCGGCTGCCAGCGCGGTATGAAGGCATCCTAAGAGACCAAAAACCAGAGAATGAACTCGGTTAGTGAAAATGGTGTGGGGAACTCTTATCAAGTAACTAAAAATATTTACCTATCTTCGAACTTATTTTCCATCCACTACTTGAGTTTACTTCACTTTATTCGAGACGGTCTCTGCTAGCGGTACCGGACAGATATCTGTCAGAATAGGCCATGCTAGTGAGTGCTAGCTTACGTTCATATCAGATTGAATAAGGTGGCTTCTGAACCGACGTCTTTCCAGGTGACGGCTGCGCTGATACTGCAGTTTTTCGCAGAATTCTTGATAATCTTACAGACGCTCTTGGCTTGTAAAGGAAAACAGAAGGTTTCAAAATGTACATAATCGTAAATTAAGATCTGAATCAAAGGTTCTTCTATGAAATAGAGAGCAAAAAAACTCCCTCTTAGTTTTTCTATAGTCGCTTTCAATAGATAGGCGATTCGTCGCACGCAGAGAGTGGACGCCGTTGCGTCCGATCAAGACAGAGAGACAGCGGACGGTAAGATGAACAAAATAACGTTCCATTGAAGAGATGCAGACGGCGTCCGTGATGACGCGCTAACTCAGCGTGCGTTGAATCGTCCATACACTGCAAAGAAGGAAAAGAAATTGGAATTTGTAAAAAAGAAGAAACCAACAGTACATGAGAATTTTTTATTCAGCTGATACTAGTGACATAAAGCCACCACCCTCGAATAAACCGACGCCAACTCCACCAGCTCCTGCTGCTGCACCAGCACCGCCGCCCCCTGCAGCTGCTGGAGAAGTCAATTTCAGTATTAAATTGAGAAGGTACCATTACGCAATATTTTTTCAGGGTGATGGCAATTATGAGGAATTGCAAGTGGTCGAAAATCCACCTCCACCACCTCCTTGAACTGTGAATTACGAAATATTCATTGTGATATATGCTTGCAACATACGAACTGTTCACTTTCCTGATATTATTCGGTGAAATAAAGATAGGATGAAAAGAATGCAAAGAGTGCTTATTTGAAATGTGCCGTCATTAATCTGATAAATTGCAGCCGTGTCCGTCTCTTTTCCTTTAAGATACTTGCATAAGTGCTATCAAAAGCATCTATCCCCCTTAAAAGCTGTTACAGAGTTCAGTTATGTTCTGCTGACGAACTCGTAATAGTGTGGACCGGTTAGATTCACTCAGTAAAAGCATCTTCAGCTTCGACTGTAGATAATTTAAAACGGAGAAGACCTTTCCTAACAAAACAGCTGTTGCGGAACCCAGCGGGTTGGTTAGGTCGGTTTGCTATTCCCCTGGTTTGCAAATTCACAAGGTAGGATCGATATTCACGAAGCTCAGCTGACTTTGATAACCTACTAATTTCGTGAACGACGATCTCGTGGGTTAAACCTACCATGGGCTTCAAAACCTACAGGGTTCGTAGGTGGATACCATGGGCACTGAACTTCTTATGCGCAAGATTGGAAAGTCCTATCTAATCCATAGCCCAAGCGGCAGCTCATAGGATTCATTTTTGGCCAGAAAAGTTAACTCTGAATTCTTGCATAGTCTGTACTCAGTTCCAACGCATCAATCTGTTACCGCACTCTATACTAATTGGTTCACGCAAATGAACTTCTCGTCCCAATCAGTTTTTCCAGAAACTGTGCCCAGGTTTGTTTCATGTGTGCGCTGTAGTAAGCTATGCTTATCCCACAACACTTGCAGTAACTAGCAAATGGGGCGTAACGATATACGCATGACCACAAGAAACCCTGGCTATTAGGTATGTACTCGAAAGCATGGTGTCGCGTTGAAACAACAATTTGCGAAAATTTTGGGTTCTAATTCTCTTCTTCTTCTTCTTTATCCTCGCCATTGTCACGCTGGGGCAGGGTTGGACGTCTTCACGTTATTTCCATTTGACTCGATCGGCTGCTTCAAGTGGTGTGAGGTTTGCAATGTGCAGGTCGTTTCGAACAGTGTCCAACCATGTTGCTTCAGCTGGTCACGTGGTCTGTTCCCCTGTGAATCTAAGCGAAGTGCTGCTTTTGCTATTGCATTAATCATTAGTAATACGTGACCATCGTTATTCTGGCACTACGCATGTTATCCGCGAAAAAAGCAACTCCAAAAATCTGCCGCACATAGTGTTCGTGACGCAGTTTCTTCGCGTTAGGCCGAATAACTATCTTATCATTCGAATCTCTATCGTGCTCAGAATCTGCTTGTGTTTACTATAGTCGTCCTCACCCCACTAGTCGGTCGGTGGTCGAATTCAAATTCGAATTGTAGCAGGCTACCCGCGGCAGAGCGCGGCAGACCGCCCCTCAGCCAACCGCTTGCACATGAGCTTTCGTCTTGATTTCTTCGTGTTTCTTTGCTGTCTCTCGTACTGCGGCAATGTTCTTGATCATATTTTTGGTTTTCGTACAGCTAACTATTGTTTCGTGCAATTGTACTTGTTTGTTTTACATTTTTTCAGGTAAACCGGGAAGAATAGAGATTTTTGGATGAGAAATATCTTTACCGGTAAGTGAAATAGTCACAAATGTGATTTGATAAGTTTGTGATGATTGTGTCAAGTTTTTCATTAGAATTCTAGACTATTTTTTGCGACAGGGCTGAAATCCTCTCAAAAAGTGTTTGTTTCAAAGAGTTAGCGGTACGAAATCTAAAAATCTGATTAAGAACATTGCCGTAATACGAGAGATAGCAAAGAAACACGAAGAATATAAGAAAAAATCTCATGCAAGCGGTTGGCTGAGGGGCGGTTTGCCGCGCTCTGCCGCGGCCGGCTTGCCCCAGTTCAAATTCAAATTCGACCACCGACCGACTAGTGGGGTGAGGACGACTATAATTACTCCAACATCTGCTTCGTACAGGACTGCTGTACCACATCTGATATACTGACTTGAGGTACTTTAGGATTCGACGGTCGCAGAATACTCCTATCACTTAACGCCAGTTCAGCCACGCCGCGTTCGTGTGAGGTGAGTATTGCTTAGCCGTAGCTCTGATTCTTTTCTTCGTACTAGCTCCTAACTGAATTATCTTGCTTCTTCATTGACGTCTGAGGAAGGAGATCCTTATGTATTCGACTTTCTAGGCTCTGACGAAGGCCATTGCGCCGAAACGTCGGCCGAAGTTAACAAAGAAAAGTTGCCATCTTGTTCGTGTTGCTCAACATCATACTACGGTTCATAGCAAGACGTCATCCGCATAGAGGAGCGTCTAAGGGTGCGGCAGGTGAATGTCCCATGTCACCGTATTCATGCACAGTATGAAGAGCAGAGGTGATAAAGGTGATTCTTGATCTACTCCAACTTGGATCGGGAATTACACTAACGTTCCTACTGTACAGCGTACGGCTCCTGTCGTGCATAAAGAAGTTTGATTTGGCAAACGTACTCTTCTGGAACGTCATGTTATCTCAGTGCATACTAGATAAAGGCTACTGCATGACGAAGGCGGAGGAGAGATATTAGTTGAGCGGGCGCGAACGCGACGCGCGCGTATCTCCACCGTTGTAAATTCTGCGCCTTATGCGCTCTGCGGCTAGTAAAGCCGCACTCGCGCCCAAAGATAATGCGCCTTCGTCATGCAGCAGCCTATAAGTACCATACCATTTGAATTTCAATTCTGAGCGCTGATAATATCACGCTTTGAAGGAACACACAGGATCTAGTCGATTTCACCGTACACAAATGTCCACGAAATCACTTCGTGTACTAGCCACCTTGCCGGAGAAGTAATGAAACCCAACTTTTTGGAAACAAGGTTTGAGGTAAATGGTTTATATCTTGATAACTTTATGATAAAACGACTTAATGTGTCAATAGGAAGATCATGAAACAATGTCAAACTGAAAGACGTGCAAAACGAATCAAACGAGGTAGATGATGCTCAACAGTAGTCGGCTGAATGCTCACAGAGCACAAATAACCGCTAGATCAATGGTACAAGCAAAATGAAACCCGAGCAGCGACGTACTTGCAAAAACAAGTGCGTCGACTAGAAATGTAAGTATGCCGTTCAGTGCGTGCGGTTACTCCATTGCAATCACAGGAATGCCATACGAAACAACAGATGCTCCTGTCAGATAAGGTAATTTGCACTTGCTTCTCGCTCGATGCATAGCTTCGACGATTACGCGGAGGCGACTATCATCGCCATCTGTTCCAGTCAAAGTTCGATTTCCGTCAGAAGAAAAACACAGATCCACCTTGAAGAAAAAAAATCATTAGTACTAGTAGCTATACCCTCTCGTTAAAAGACCGTAAAGATACCAATGCCATGAAGTAGCGATCAATTTCTCCGTCGGTGACAGTCCATAAACATCCCACAACGGAAGGGCACTTTGCGACAGTGTAGTCGTACACAGAGCTCTTGCCGTCCATACCCCATCCGAAAGGTGTTAGCTTGACACTAAAGCAAGATTCCTCGCAACCGTATCAGGATTATCATTAGTAAAAACGCAGTAGCTGTTTTTGTCGAAAGAAATGCTAGAATGGAGAGAAGGAACTAAATCAAATCTTCCTGTGTAATCAAGAATTGTCTTAACAGGTACCCAAGTCTAAACTGACGCAGTTGATACTTAGCAGCGCTAGTATGGTCTCTTACTTATAGATTCCGTTTGAATTGACAAATCTGAACGAACCTTCCACACCCCATTAAGATGGCCACAGCATTGATAGTGTTTTCACTAATCAGTCGCCTACTGAAGTATCTCGATCCACTGCCATGACCCATGTAACTATAAATTGGCGTTTACAGTGGATATTGTTGAGTTGGTTGATAAAACAGTGCTTACAAGAAAACATCACGCGCACGGAGTGCCTCCTTGACCATATCTGGCTCGGGTATCTTCCCTGTGACTCCACTCCATCCAAATTTCGAGACGTAATTAGTTATACGTCGCTGGGTATCACCAAGATTATTTTCTGGATCGAGAATGTAGAAGGCGTTTGTGGTGTTAACTGCTACCGGAATCTAAAAGGTCTTACTCTAGATCGAACGTGCAAAAAAAGATACCAGCACTCACCTCTTTTCGCAATCTAAGTGTTTGCAAGAGTGCGTGTACAGACGGTATGCGCGCCACATAAGGACTGTCCCGGAAAACTGGAATTACTTCCCATGGAAAAGTTGTTAAATCCTGAATTAACAATTTTTTGACAAAAACTTCATAAGTATGTCCAAATTACCGGGCATATAGTAAGGAAAGTATAGCAGGGACCGGAATCGTCGGTAACACCACCACTGGTGACAGCCATCCTGATCCTGTGGGAAGCAATATCATAAAAAGTATGAAAACTGTAACAAAACGCCGCTTACTTTGCGTAAATCTCCTGCGCTGCTTTCTTCTGTGAAGACAGTCCTACAAAGTCGAACAATCTCTCCATAACGCGAGTCCACTCTGCCTTCTCCAACTTGGTGGCTAAAGACACCAACTCCTAAATGAAAACCAATCATAGATACTTCGTGAATCTTTTCAGCAAAAAATGACATAAGGGGTGTCTTTTGAAAGAAAAAAGACGATACCTTCGCATTGGACAACGACAGCTGCATGCCATCGGAAGATTGAGATGAAATGACCAGCTTTTTGGCTAAGTTCAAGCCCTTGCGATTCAAGCTTAGGGACGGCAGAACTAGTGGTGCAGCGGCACCTAGCAGAATTTCTTGCACTCGAGGAATCAAATTCTGCAATGTTTTAGTCGTGATGGTATACACCAACTATGAATTACCTTCAGGTCATTGTCAACTGCTCTTCTCGCACTCCAAAAGGCTTTTGCGTCCTTGGTGACTTTTCCCAGGCTGCTCGTTCTAGTATTATCCTCAATGATGCGATCCATCATGGACTTCACACTCTCCACCTAAAGGTGTAAGTTACCTACAGAATACAACTAGAATGAAAAACAATCAACCTTCGACTTGGGCGCTAAGGGCATGACAATGGGTTCACGATCCTTATGCATTTTTATGAGATGAAGGGAGCCATCATGAGAAAGTGCCAAATGTACCAGGGTGAAGTCTAAGATAGATGCCATCTATTGAAAAAAAAACTGTTAGGATGTATGACACTGACCTGCCGGCAAATTCTCTATCATTTTCTTGAACAAGTCCGGTTGCGAAAATGTGAAACCGCACATTTTCCCTGATAAAAGACGCGAATGCTGCCGAGTTGTTAGCATCGTAGACTCGGACCACATCATTGCTGCTTTCCAAGGATCTTCAAAAAAAAAGTTTTACAAACGAGAGCTAGTTTGGCTCACTGAGAAGTCCTAATTACTTACTATCGGTGTGTTCTCCCAGAAATGTACACATCGGAAAACGCCAGTCTCTTAATTGAAAAGATATGTAACTTGAAAAGAAGGCCTAGACAAACAAACCTGCATAATAGGTTGCTGTAAGAACCATATTCTGTCTCTGCATCAGCTATCACCTCCTCAAGCAACTTCTGCTGCTCTTCCTGAAAACAGCGATGATTCATCTACTACATGTAAAAGTACTAACTATAACGAGTGATGAAACATGCAAACGCAACAACGTTTTTCCACTCAATTCAACTTCGGTTGCGCAAGATATAAGGTAAAAATCAGCAAAAACAATGACAAAAGAACTGGACGTACCAGGTCCTCTTTAGCGCTAGAATTTGCGTCCCTACAAATAGGAGGAAACAGATAGTGAGCTACAGCGGACTAAAAGTCGACCAGACTTGAGTCAACAATGATAAGAGAAAGTTGTAGGTCGCCAAATAAAATTCGCCTACCATGATTCCTGATGTGCGATCATCATCAACCATCCACTCATGGTTCGTAGGCTGTGAGATTTTCTGCATTCTTTCCAAGTGTGCAATTGCTAATCTGTAGTTCAAAGTGCGCACTGATGAGTAACTGCAAATCTGTAACGTAGGCAATAAGCGATAAATGCATTTCTCGTACAAATAAAACGTGAAAAACGTACAAAACGTACAAATATAATGAAAAAAAGGAGCATGAGAACGTGGATGACAAAGTAAAGAGAATGAAATGAGCATGCATACGGCAAGTACATCGTAATTTTACCTTCGTAGCGGATGCCACTATTTGGTCTCGCAAAGTTTTCAATGCATGATTATCGTGATCCCATAATTTATCTTCTAGGCAACGTAGCCAGCGCACAGCGCACATCGCAAACGTTTCACACATTATCGATGGAGGACGCTGAAAGTAGTAAAGTTTGAATTATGAAGATAAGTCGGGCAGAAACTATTCAAAATAATTCCTAGAATTATTTTGATTTTTGAGTAAAAATGTATGAACGTCAGAACAAGAAAGATTTTGTTGAATGATACTGTTCAACTGGTAGACTGTTACTCACCGGCTTTACTTTCATTCCCAGGACTGCGCATTGCTCTACAGCTACTTGACCACGCAAGGAGTGAAATTGCTTCTCAATACAGCGCATAGAGTCCTGAAAAAGACAACTCATCGGAACAAAACTTTGTAAATATTTAAGCCCAAACGAGACAGGCAAATATCTTGTGAGAGGGGTAGTCTTGGACAGGTTTAAAAAGTTTTGAACGAGACAAAAGCTGAATAACCAGAATTCTTTGGCGCTCCCTACTTTCTCCGTTGATTCTTAGTCGTAAAGCACACAATAACCGTATGGACTGTATAGCAGAGGCAAAAAGGGGAAAAGTGACGATTAACGGTGACTGTTGGGGTCATTTGGTCATAGCGCCGTGATAGCAATCCGACTTTCATAAAACTTGATGACTTACAGAAAGCCAATAGTATTCGAAGCCTGGGAAGTCGACCCTTATGGAACACAATAACAGGATGAATGACTGAAGAAAGGCTTACGTCTGACATGGATTCGAACAAGAACGACGAAGTCCAGTACTCGAAGGCGGCGTTGTAACTTGCCCCACATAACACACAAGCGTTGCATTGGCACTTTTTCGAGAGCGCATGCAAAGAGCATATCGTACTGAACCAAGTTAGAAATAGACATGAAACAATCTTCAGGAGTTTCTACTTACTCAGCCAAAGCCAACTCATTGAACGAATCGATGAATTTTGACGCTATCCGTGCAGGCGACTTGCAGCGAGGATCTTTGATAGCAGACCCAAACTGCTTGCGTTGCCAAAAAAGAAGGGAAATAAGTGAAAGGCAAAAAATATTCTCATTTGGCAGTGAGAGGAATCATTAGGATAAGCTCGTAAAGATGAAAACAAAATACAGTTGAGACCGATAAGAAGCGGATTTTTGTACAAAATGAAGTATTGAAGCGTACAGAATAAAGTAAGAATTCGAAGCGTACAGAATAAACTCACTCTAGTCTTAGTTCTTCAAATGACTCGGCAAGCGAAAGCGCAACGGTTTTATTTGCTCTGGAAGGAGATTTGCTTCTAATAGGAGTTGAGGTCCACGGACTGCAACTGACAAGCTATTCAAACTATTCAATTGATTTATCAGAACCAATGAAGGATGAACTGACGTTGCCAATGCTTCTGCGTCAGCCTCTGTCTCAGCATCTGTTGCACTCAACTTCTCCTTGGTATGAGATTCTTTGCGAGATGTATTATTCGGCTACAATAAACTGTCGAATTACATACGCTAGACAAATTCCAAAACCTACCGAATATATACGGCGTAGAATATCCATGCATACAGTGAGATCTTTGTTCAGGTCTGCTTGAACCACACAGTGTCGCAGAAGAGCATTTACGTTCGCAAATTGCATGATTCTGAAATAATGAACTCATTGCAAAAAAAATCACACATTACGCATGAGGTCAACAGATGCATACAGCATTGTAATCTGAAGTATATTTTGAGATTCGCAATTTGAAAAAATATGTAGTTCGGAAACTGCATGTCGAATGTTCACATTTCTTTGAAACCACAAAATTTTACTAAGCCTACCTGAATAGGACTCCCAATTTGACGGCACACCATAACCCTAGCTGTGAATTCGCTACAGCATCTCTAATCATACCAACATTCAATAACTCAATTGCATACTCCCGTCTCATGTCGCAGCACTCAGCAAATGATGAGCAAGCTTTCACTGCAAAAATTATCATCACGGAACCCAGTGATCATACGAGATGAAAATACTTACGAAAGTCCAAAGGATCCGATACAATTTTTGAAAGTTCTAGTGGCAACTGCTCTTTTTGAATTGCTGGTATTCTGTTCTTCATGACACTTTCTGCTTTGAACACTGCTTTCTGGAGACAGTATAGGGTGTCCAGAAGCTGAATTATCGAGTGAAGAGTCTGGTAGAGCGTGAATTTGTTATTTTGATTACCTCGACACCGTCTAATTTGAAAGCGGCAACTTTTGGCACATGTGAAGCTATCCAGTTAGCAAACGCTTGCGTCTCAAACACTGGAAATGTGGGGCGCTCATCAGAATTGACCTTTTCTGTCATAGTCAATATAGTCTTGGAAGAAGCAGGCTGTAAACAAAGACAATATATTGGTAAAGTATCTTTAAAAAACTTACCCTTGATCTTTGATCGCGATTGAAATCGACGTAGGCTTTAGTAATTTCCGTGGTGAATATCAATTGGTCGACTAAATGATCGTCCACTCCATTTTTCTTTGGAGGTTTCGCTTTTTCAAATGCTAAAGCCATTTCAGCCATTTCCCATTCACCTATAAAACAAACTAGCTCAAAAGGACTTGAAATTTGAGCTTCAACAAAAGTAACCTCACCAAGGAAGGCAGACCAGCGAAGAGCTAGTATTCGAGGAATGAGACTTTTCGGTTCCAAATTTATGGAATGACGAAGACATAATAAAGCTTTGTAATACTAAAAAATCTAATTTGGTGAAGCAAATTTGAAGTTTTAGGTGAACCCACATCTCCATTTAGAAAAAAGCAAGCAGCAAGTCTGACGGGCAATTCCGCATAGGAATTCTTTCGCAGACCATCCCCAACTACGGGATGAAGTTTATCTTTCCATACATAATAACATTTCTAAACATAGGTCAGTTTACAAAAGCGGAAAACATCAATGTGTAACTAACCAATACGTTGTTATAAGAAATTGTCTTATTCTGCTGGGAGACGAATTTTTCTATAGCTGATAGGTACTTTGCACTTGCTGTAGCTTCACAAACTGTTTCAGGCTTGAACTCCTTTTTAAGTACGTCGAAAACCTAGTCAAAGGGAACGATTTATTAAACAGCATATAAAAATATAGAAAAATTGAATACCTCATTTTGTACTGCCTCCAAGTCAACTATATACAGTTTTAAGTATTCGAGGCAATTGAAGTAGACGTCCCGCTTATTTATTAGTTTTTTAGACATCTGATCTGAATCGAGATTTCTTCTCTTTCTTTTTTCACGACTTCACGGTTTCTTCACGATTTGCTAGGCATATCAATGGCTGGGAAATGTAAAGGAATTAGCAGAAGCTTTCAAGAGGGATGCGATAACAACAGGGAATGAAAATCAAGAGCTAAAATCGAAGCATCAGAAAAAACCCCAAACGAGTCCTGCGAATTCCTCGGCAATGTGCGACATTCCTTCTTATTTCCGTGTATAGCCACGGCAGAAATGTACTACACAAGCTGAAAAAAGTTTCGTGCTCTAAAAAACGGAAGGTTTAAAGTAAAAATTTTGCCGCGCTTCAAAATTTGCAACTAGTACTCGTCCGCACACGGTACGAGTTTTCCGGAAAACCTTTTGGTGTGACTGCGGACATACATATAATACGACAACTAGAATGTCGTCATGCATTCAAATTTTTTCTTTTTTTTCACTTTACTCAAGACTCAATTGCAGGCGCTCAGAGTGTAATTTCCTAGTGATTTTATCGACTAGCAGAGGCAATGGTGCGTCTTTCATGTGTAATTTTTGTTTGGTTAGTGTTTGCAAAGAACTTGTTCAGAGTGGCGGCCTGATACTTGCTGGAGTAGGATTAGCTGCTGCAGGATTTGGTGCTCGCTATATTTTACGAAACCAGCGGCTCATCAAAAAGGGACTTGAAGCCCTCCCTGGAGGTGTTGTAAGTTTTCAATAGTTTGTCTTTGTGACAATCTTATGACACTTGTTGAAACTTTCTCCATTGTTGACTTCTTTATCATACATGACTTTACAAGGTAGAATTTATGCATGAGTGCCATTATGTTTTTGAGCAAAAGCTTGATTTTTCGCAGAAAGCAAGCATTTTCAGCTAGGCATTGATGACTTAGTGTGATAATTTAAAGAACGTTCGTCGTATAGATGAATCTCATGATTATTTTTTTGAAACAGCGGTTACTATAGGGTTTCAAACATCTGTATCTAGCATAGCATGAAATTTTTTGATTGAGCTGTTGGATCGTGAGGCGCGGATTGAATTGCCAGATTCTCACCGAAATGCATTGAAAGCAAGGTTTTGGCACTTTAGTATGTGATTCTAATAGGGGCATGACAGAAACCTGTTCATATATTGAATCTAGAGAAGGAAAATCAGTTTAAATCATAAAGATAGTATTCATTCATTAGAATGACTCTAGGATTCAATAAAGACTAAGCTGTGACGAAATGAAGCAGTGAACTCCTCAAGTCAAGTAAACCGCAGAGCAGTGCCGCAGACTTTACAATGTATGATCACTGGGCGAATTTTTTACATACCTCACAAGGGAAGCGTCTTTAGTCGAAGTGACCTTTCTAAATGATTCCTATACCATTTCAAAGGGCATTAAACACTGATTCCAAATTTGTTTTCACTGTCTGTCAAGCCCCCTGGGCGCCGAGTTGGGTGTTTTTGGAGCAAAAAATGAGCGCAGAATGTAAAAACAGCATCTTAGTATGTTACGATCTTTCCTGCGCTCAAATAGACCACTGTTGAGTATCAGGGTATTAGACAGCAGGTATTCATTGAATGAACTGCTCTCTACACCTAACTATTTGAGCAGTCTTGAGCGACTTTGTTCTAGCTGTGCATTAGTTTTTGGACTTAGAAAATGCCCATAACTCGGCCTCCAGAGGCGCTTGGCAGATATGGAAAAAAGATTTGGAATTACAGTTTAATGCTCTACAACGTGATATACGTGCCATGTGGAAACGCCACTTCGACTAAAGACGCTTCCTTTGTCAGCTCTCTTGGCCGTCTCTTCTCTGTATTCGAAAGAAATTTCCGAGATGTACTTGAACAGGGATACCTTTTGATTTTTACTTTTTAGCACTTGCTGAGCTTGCTGTTGTAAAAATCAGCATAAAAATTTGTATGACACTACTAATGTCTCCACAGTTCCATAACGTTAGCATTGGCACACAAATGGCACAGCCATCGAAAATTTAATGCGGTGTAGGAGTCCTTGAAACCAATCCTTCATTGGTGATTAGTTGAGTGATGTGATATTCCCATATAAATATATGTACAAATATCTCGTTTTCAGTTTGAAAAATACCATCGAGGTGGTTTTGAGCCAAAAATGTCGAGGAGAGAAGCGGCAATGATTCTTGGAGTTCCAGCTACTGCTAAACCTAATCGAATAAAAGAGGCTCACAAACGCATCATGATTGCCAATCATCCTGATCGAGGTAAAAAAATTTTTTTACTGGGATCATGGCTGTTTTGCTGTGATATTGATTTTATCCTAAACTCAAGGAAAGATTTATTGTGTAGTAGAGGCGTTGCAATTGTAAACCAGTTCAAAAAACATCAGATAGCGGGAAACGCGGCGGGTCCCGAAGAGAACGTCCCTGCAGAGCTTAGATCACTGGATCACTAGCAATCAGTGGCGTACCGAGGGGGGGGGCGGGGGGGGGGGGGGGGCGCGCGCGCCCCCCCCCCCGAGAACGGGTCGCGAAATTTTTGAAGGTTACTTACATGAGTTGTAAAAATGTGCAAATGACTTGTTTATTTTTGTAAACAATTAAAATAATTTTTAAAATTTTTTAAAAATTCAAATTAGCCTTATAAAAAAATTTTTTTCGGGGCGTGACTGACGCCACGCCCCCTTTTTCCAGATTTTAGGGGTTGGGGGCCCGCAAAATTGTTGAGAAGCCCCCAATTTTTCGGAGTGCGTGGCTAACGCCACGCACCTTCATTTGAAAAAATTTTTTGCCGCGCCCCCCCCGAGCCGAAATCCTGGGTACGCCACTGCTAGCAATGTATACGAAATTAGTTCATCAAGCCCATACGGCGGTTCAAAGTCAAGCCATGACCTCAAGTTTAGCTAAATTCTGCGGTTTTCTATATCCAATGTCTCCATTGTGCACGGATTTGTTTGAAAAATCTCAGTACTTCAACAATTTTAATTTCCACTTGCGGATGTACCTTGTTTCATCAATCGGTTTCTTTTCACTGCAACTGAGATTTGGTTTTCGAGTGACTTGTTTTGTCGTCGACTATTTGATGTCTGGGTTGACGTTAGCCATCATTATTCAAAATGCTGCGCTTTTTTGCTCCCAGAATCTCTTGGTCGAGATTTATGATGCGTCGCGTTTGTCTGTCTACAAAACACACCAAACGTTTGTTAGTAGTGCTTCTATATACGTCCTAAGTCAATTTCTGTACTAAAGCTGCCATTTTAGGTGGTTCTCCATACTTGGCCGCAAAGATTAACGAAGCCAAGGATTTACTGGAGTCAACGAAAAGTTAACGATGTCCATATTTTACCTTAGAATTTGCTCAGGCAAAGAGATATGTAGCCGATTTACTTTATTGTATCTCATTTGCACCAAGTCGCTTACGTCTTCCTTCATTGCATCAATGTGATTTTAATGCTGTTTCTCTAAGCGTACAGGTACTTATATGGCTTAGCTCTTTTAGTGAAAAATGTAGCTAATTAGCTTGATAGAAATAAAGTTATATCATCTAATCGGTATGGGTTTGGATCATTGATGCCAGGCTATCAATATATTAGGTCATTCCGAAAGTAATTTCGCTTTTTTCAAACGGACGCCACATGTGATGGAACAAAGGTTTCTAAAGGAGCTTGGATGCATTCGATGCAGCATTTCATTCTCTTTCTAAAGATTATGAAATTGTTGCAAAACAATCAATGAGCTATCAGAAAATAACCAAAATCTGCGACCTATGCTTTTTGAGATGGTCGAGTTTCACTATTTTTTGAAACTTTCATATCAATCCTCACAAGGAGTTCAAGTAACATTTCGATAGAGTAAACCTTATAGGATACAGTACTACTTTTTTCTCCTTTCCATAGCTTGTCATACATTTTTAACAGAATTTTAACTGATGCCACCGATTTCCATACTTAAGCAGCTAAATCCTCGTAGAACATCAAAAGAAAGGCAGTTCGGCACTATTCGATGCAGCATTTTCTCCACTTTCTAACAGATGTTTTTTGTTTCCGATTCGTTTAGTTTCCGGAGAGAAATCAGCATAACTCATTTTTTTTTAGCGAGCCACAGGCTGTACCCGAAAAACTCGAAATTTGATATTTCGAACCCGTAAACCCTCACTTGCTTTGTAAAATTAATGCTGACTCATAGTACCATCTTGGTAGCCTCAAATTCCGAAAAATTATGATGTTTGATGCGATTGTGGCTGAGGTGGGCCTGCCAAAATCCGATAGTTCTGTTAAAAAATCTAAAAAAATATTACGGCGAGCTATGAGGAAGAGAAAAAAGTAGTAGTGTATTTTATAAGGATTACTCTATCGAATCCTTACTTCAGCTCCTTCTGAGGATGGATATGAAACTTAGAAAAAAAACGTGAAACTTGACCATCTCAAAAAGCATAGGTCGCAGATTTTGGTTATTTTCTGAAAGCTCATTGACTATGCTGCAATAATTTTGTAATCATTAGAAAGAGGACGAAATTTTGCATCGAATGTCTCCAAGATCTTTTAGAAATCTTTGTTCCATTACATGTGGCGTCCGTTTGAAAAAAGCGAAATTACTTTCGGAATGGCCTAATATTAGGTTGTCCCGAAAGTTTTGTCGGTTTTTTCAAACCACTATAAAACCACGCACAATAAACATCTGAATGAGCTTCAACATGCATTCGATGCAGCTTTTCCTTCTCTTTCTTATGGATAAATTATCGAGCCACAATCTTGTATGCTTTTTTCGATATTTGTTAAAATTCTCCATCCGCCAATCTTATCTGGTCAAAGATCGGTTAATTTTTAAAAATTTTATTTCAAAGTTTCCAAAATGGTTAAGTATGATTCTAACAGAGCAATTCTCGGACTACGAGGCTACATTTTTTGATTTCCCTGATCTGCTGTTTATACCTTGAAAAAAATTATTTCTTAAGAGGTCTCGATTTTTGGCGAAGTCATGAAGCAGCGAATACATGGAAATTTTCAAGGTTTCTGCGAATTGAAAAGTGATTCTTATTAAAAATCTTAAGCAACATGACCAAGTTTGATTTGCCTTGAAAAAGCAGCTTTTTGGAATTTTCGGTACTTTTACGTGGTAAATGTAAAGAAAAATTCGCGGTTTTTATCAAATAAATAATTATAACGAACTTGATAAAAGTGGCCCATGTAATCTAAAATAAACACAATGTAGCCAAAGGTTTGCTCTACATAACAGTTACCAGCGCTCTTTGAAAACCTTAGTATAAAATTTTTTACAATTTACGAAGTATTTGGCGTTACTGCTGAGATGCTCAAAAAGCCATGGCGATAACATTGCAAAGACAGGAAGATCAGAGAGAAAATGTAGCTAAAAATCTGAATCAAATGGTATCTAACTTGCCCATGGATTGGTGTTCTGTGAGTTTCAGTGGTCGATGAAAGAACCGACAAAACTTTCGGGACAACCTAATATATGACTATCAACCGAAAGACATGGAACCTGCTACAACTAACTAATGCTTTTGCACCATTGTTTCTACTGGTGGGAGCAAAATCATTTATAAGTTTTGATTAAATTTAAATAAAAAAGTCGCTATCAAAAGAAATTAGCGTCAGCCATCGTGTCCAATGTTCGAAAAAAATGATTTAACTTCTCAACATATGCTGCTGGCAAGAAGACATGCGCGCTCCTGCCGAAAAAAAGGAGGTTTTGGGAGGAAAAGTCAATGATAGGACTTCTGAACGGAGAAGCGAAGGCTTCAAAGCATGCATCGAGTCTTAGGAGTAATACCGGAGAGAAGGCACAGGGGCAGAAATTGGAAGAGGTGCAGGCGGTTGGCGCAGGCGAGCGAGAACGAGTCATGAGTTTTGCATTTCTTATTCTTCATAGTCAAACATCAACTAAATGCGGAAAAATATTAGGTTAGTGCAAAAGTAACGCGCTTTTTGCGAGTTCTCACTTTGACTTTTTATAAATTTCATATCTACATTTCTCAATGCGATAAAGGCCATCAGATGCAGCAGACTTTTTGCAATACAGCGCACTTCCAACTATACTCATTTCACAAACGAGTAGAAAAATATGGATTGATAAACAAAAAGTTTTTGAAGTCATTTTTAACAAACCATAATTCCCTTCAAAGTCTGTTACTATGAATGTTGAGTAGCCTATCTTGTAGTCGCAAGCCAGTAGTACAAAAGAGGATGGAAAAGGTTTCGACAAAGAAAGTTTAAAAAATTGTCAGCTATTTTCATTATTTTTTTCAGGGTTCAAAGTCCCAAATTATGTTTTTTTTTCTTTTGATTTCCTGCTTACTGAACAGTAAGCAATTTTGCAAAGATTATCAACAGGAAGCCTACGCTTACAGAAATGAGCAAAGCTTGGGCGAATGCCTTTTTAAACGAAAATTATGGACCACAGAGCGATGAAAACGACTACACATTTTGAGGCGCCGTTATCACAGTCGAGATATTTTTAAGATAATGTAGACAATTTCTATTACGCACAGCTAAATTTCCGAAAGAATGCCATCATTCGCGTTTGAATCTTGGCCAGAAAAGTATAATAAATGCGATGAAAACTGGTTTCGAGTGCGGCTGTTTGAAGCTTTGTAAATTTTTAACAGATAAGGCTGAAGTCTGTTTCAACCATCACTAGACAGAGCATAAAAAGTGGTGTGCCAAATTTTTTTCAAAAAAGAAAGATGGAAAAAAGTTGTTTTGCACGGCCTAGAAAAGCGCTCATGATTTTCGCATCAATCTAATATTTATTCTGTGGATTAGAGAAACTCCAGGTTGTCATAATTTTTTTTTTGCCATCCTAGCGTCTCAAAGAGATATCATCATGTGAACGAACTCCAGCCGTTTGCACTTCTGAAACAAGTAGTATGCAGCTTAGAATAAATATTTTACCATGTTGTGGAGTGAAGGGTATGTGACATGTTTCGGATGGAGTGCTGGAAAATGTCACGACCTGTATTTGTTTTTTCTCATCCGGTCGCTTTTGAACCTGAATTTACATTTACTGCTAAAGGCGGATTCATTCGAGAATGGAAGTCAGCTGCTTGTTGAGATTTTCTGTTTACTTGAGTTGAAAATTATGAACTTATATCTATCTGTAAACATTTTGGAACAGTTTTGAAAATTTAATCAATTTGAGAGAAAACCTTGGGGTGTGATAGATTTCCCAGTTATAAGCTTGCCAAAAGTTTGTAAAGATCCAGAATATTTGATGAGTATGCTTTGCTGCCCAAAGCGCACGTATCCACCATCATCATACTGGCTAGAGCGGATTGATGTACGACCCTGATTCTTCTCTCCCCGACCCCCTACTCTCGAAAAGACGGAATCTAAAACAACATATCAGACGCAATCGATTTACTTTCATTTGGCTTGTTTTTTCCTTTTTACTGTTAGGATGCAGTGGTTTTCTTTTTTACTGCTGAAGATAAGGACGTGGGTGTTTGCATGAAGCATCAATAAAAATAGATACAGATAATAGCAAGAAATTGCTAAGTTCAATTTTATTTGAATATTTTGTTCACCTAGTTTCTCAGAAATATGAGATTTCTACAGCAAACTTTTTATAAGTAAGAGGAGCTACAATCAATTTGCGATTGTTGTCTTTTGATGTTGCCTGGATAATTGGAATAGATTCTGTCCATCTTGACATCTGTAAGTTCCCCGGGGGACCCATGCCTAGGCTGATAAAAAAATGACGCGAATTTGATGAACCGTTGGGAGAGATTCAGATGCTTGATCATCAATTTTATTACTTTCATATTCTTATAAAGACACAGTCTCAAATGGCTTACCAATATCCTTAAGGCCTCGGACAGAGCTCACGCGAGATCGTAACGACTCAATCGCTACAAGACAACTGTTACGAGTTCATTGCATGCCGATCAGCTTGCATTTCGGTTGTGATACTTTTCCAGCCCAAAATTTTTGAATGTAAAATGGAAATGAATGAAAATCCCGGCGATTAAATCGCGACGATCAAATCGCGTGAACTCTGTCCGAGGCCTAACGCAGTGGCAGGGGCTTACATGGACATGAAAATGTCAGTGACTTGCTTATTCTTGTAAATAATTAAAATAATTTCTGGAATTTGAAATTCAAATTAGCCTTGTAAAAAATTTTTTCGGGGGCGCAGCTGCCGTCATGCCCCTTCTCTTGGAATTTAGGGGTTGTGGACCCAAAAATTTTTGAAAAGCACCCTAAAAATCTTTGCGGAGGGCGTGGCCTGACGCCACGTTCCTTCATTTGGAATTTTTTTTGCCGTGCTGTCCCCCCCCCCCTCCCCCTCCCCTGGCGGAAATCCTGCAACCGCCTTGCCGTAACCCTAACTGGGTGCTCATTCTCAAATGAGCGCCAAGCCGTGTGACAAGCGATTCCTTCCACTCTCTTCTTCAGCTTTAGGTGTCCGCAGTCGTCTTTTTCTACGTCTCACTGTTCCGCACTGATAAGCGATGCAGGACACTTATGACCCAGGAATGTCCTTTTCGAAAATTACTCCACAAAAACAAGCGTTCATTCACCTATTGCGGACGGTGCTTCATTCCATTGCTTGCTGACAAGACCAGCGCTATCTCTTTTCGTAACCTAATACTCAATTTTCCATTCATCCATTCTTTGGAATGCTTATCAAGTGTAAAGTGTTTACTCTGTACGATATAATTCTGCACTTTTTGATTACTATTACCTTTGCTCCAGTTTTTGGATATATGCGTTACTCAAATGTTACAAGTCTCACTGATAAATCGATTATTTGGTCACTAATTGTTATTCAAACTTGCATCACACCTAGTCAGTTCAAGTAAATATCCGTAAATCTCTTTACATGAGAATCCGAAGATTTCGGATTAGTTATTCACTATCTCACCTCACTTTCACTCAGCATATTCAGTTGGGTTATTCATATTCGATCTTTGGGATGAAGTGTATGCATATAATAAGTTCTGTCAGGATCGGTTATACAGGTGCTTCCGTAATTAGCGAGCACTTTGATAGATTTGTGTTACAAGTAAGAAAAGCGATACAAGAGTCAATAACTCATTGCCGTAAGGAGGCCTCATCTGTACTGATCTCAAAATAAGGCAGAAACTGTTTGAGACAGTTTTCACGCCAGCGAGTACTTTCATAAAAAATACTGTTCTAGGTAGTCTGAAAGTGCTTTTGAGCGGAGGGATGTAGAGGGATTATCAACTGCAGTGTCGGGAGCACCAGCATCTCTCCAGCGCGGCCGCTTCGCCTTTTTCGCGAACATGCTCTCTGAGGCGGTATTTATCATCTAGGAGAAGGGCATTTTAAGTTTTTTTTGTAAGGCTAAATTGAATTTTTAGAAAACTCAAAAAAATTTTTCTTAGTTGTTTACAAGTATTGACAAGTCACTTATACTTAGGGCCGCATGCACTAACATCCCCACGGGGAGGGGATCGCAGCTTAAAAGAAAGCTTTATATTTCGAAACTCCAGATACCTGGATTTCACGTTGTGTACCTATCCGTAAGTATTCCTACTACCCTTCATCATGAACATGTTGAACAGGAGCAAGAAGCTGTACGAACCGCATTTTCCAGCTTTTGTATGATCCCTGATGATCCCCGGCGCTTTTCTTTGAAGTCATTTTTCTTTCTCCGAAGTTAACGAAAAACCTCCAAAGTTGTGCAGATTATCCAACCCGACAGTGCTAAGTATGTTCCTAATGAGAACAAATGATGTTTTGGAGTCATGAAATTATCGATGATCCACAGGTCGAAATTTGAGGTTTACCGAAAAATTCGACTTTTCAAAAACTCATTTGTTCTCATCAGCAACATGCTTAGCACTGTTGTGTCAGAATGTTCAGTACAACTTTGGAAGGTTTTCGTTAACTTCGGAGAAAGAAAAATGACTTTAAAGAAAAGCGCCGGGGATCATCAGGGATCATACAAAAGCTGTAAAATGCGGTTAGTACAGCTTCTCGCTCCTGTTCAACATGTTCATAGTGAAGGATAGTAGGGATACTTACGGACAGGTACACAATGTGAAATCCAGATATCTGGAGCTTCAGAATAGAAGCTTTCCTTTAAGCTGCAATCCCCTCCCCAGCGGGGAGGTTAGTGCATGCGGCCTTTAATCTTGATTCGTGACCTTCTCGGGTGGGGGGGGGGGGTGGGGGGCTCGGTACGCCACCCACTTCTACTGCCTACATCTTTATCGTTTTTGGTTGCCATTTGAAGAAGAAAAAGTAGTAAATTTTTCTTTTTCTTTTCGAAGCGGCAAACTCGAGAACTCCTCTTACATCAGCACAATAAAGAAAAAACTCAACATCTATCCACAATTACATGTTTTGCTGAATTTAGTATTTTAGAAATGATCAGGCGCTACATTCTTTTCGCACTACTGGCATGTTGTGGCAGTAGCTACAAATTCTTGGTTTATTCTCCAACCTATGGATATTCTCACACCAAATTTATGGGAGTGTTAGCAGACATTCTTACAGAAGCCGGTCATAATGTAGTAAGTACATATTCATCTAATTTTACTATATTATCTTTTCAAATCTACCTGCACCAAGTAGGGTAGTCGCTCTATGTATTTCCATTTACACCAACAAGTGATTTAAGACTATACTGATGCCCATCATTGATAACGAAGAAATGGATTTGACTGGAGTGAAGCTTACGAAAAACATCATCAAACTTCCTCCTGACGAACGTATAGCTGAGATGCAGGACTATGAGGCGCAGGAAATATCCGAATTATGGAAAATGCCGTTGGGCATTTCGGGATTTTTGCAAGTTGGTTCGTACAGGGCTCGTCGAAAATTGATAGGGCACCTTAACCTTTGCAGATGAAACAAGAAATGATTGAATGGCAAACATCCCAGTGCGAAAGTGAGTGGAACTTACTGCTTACATTGAAATCTTACATACGTAAGCCATAGTCGAGAAATAGTTTATTTTTCAGGAACTCTTAAACACGTATCGTTGATAAAACAACTAGAAAAAGAGCAGTTCGATGTCGGCATCGCAGAAGCATTCGGAATCTGTGGATTTGGTAACCTTTGCCAGTCTTCATTCTTCTCGCATTCAAAGTAGCATTTCTAGGTGTCTTTAGAGCGGCAAAAATCAAAACCACGTTAGCCACACTGTCAAGCGTTCATGCAGACCTTATTTCCGAAATAATCGGTGAACCGGTTACTCCAAGCTACGTACCGGGTAACTAAGTTACTAGTCAATTTTGTCAGCAGCCTCTAATTTTTTGATAAGCACATGGATGAAATTTGTTTTCAGGAGGAATGTCTTCAGCTGGAGATCAGATGGATATAGTTGGTAGATTCGAGAATTTTATGGATGCCTTGTTAGAGCGGTCATATTTTATTGATGTCTTCGATAGCGAAATCAAGCTCTTCAAGAAAAAGTTTGGTCCCGACTTTGATGGATGGCAGGTAAACGAAACAGGACTAGCAAAATGTTCTAGCAGTTTTGCTTGCAGAACTGCCAGAACACTTGCTAACAGCATCAATAAAATGTTGGCCCTCGATTAACGAGTGAGATAATTTCCAATGATTACCTTGAACATGAAAGCATCTTGATCTATGTGCAGAGAGAGAGAAAGAGAGAGAGGGAGAGAGAGAAAGAGAGATAAATCTGCGCTTTCACACAGGGCCCGGCACGCGTTGGTTTGGAGGTGTTAAGAAAACGGAGTCCCCCATGACTTCGCGAAAATTTACGAAGTCCCTCTCGACGTGAAAATCAGTAGGGGAACCCTTATTCAACCAAAATAGCAACAAAAAAGCGAAAAAGGCGCATTTTGAGGTATGTAATATCACAAAAAAGCAAAAAAAACATTTCGAGTCGATTAAAGGCTCTGCCATTGGGTATAGTACCATTTTGATGCTGGGAATGTCGAGAATCTCCTAGGCCAACCAAATCTGTAGCCTCAACAATCCTGCGATGCATTTTTCGCCACATATTTCAAAGACCCGCAAGTGATTGGAGCGCGATATCTATCAACGCGTAGAATTATACTACTTTTGACTCAAAAAAAGGGGAGAGGCAACGGTTTTATCCGCTCTCTTCACTATATGATAGATTTTTGACCGTTCTAATCGTCCAAATCAAAAAGATCCAAAACTTATGTGAACTCTCCGATATTTATGCTCCGAACCAATGTAATATAATAATGATTTACCCCTGTTAGAAACTACCTAAGAGTGACTTTGAATCAGTAACGACAATGTCAGGCTTACTTATATGGGCATTCTCTCCAACTCATAGAAACAACTTTCTTTTACTAAGGTTTATTAACAAGAAGAGTATTATAGGACAGGGGTACTACAAGTCAGGAGTACTATAAGAGAGGAGTATTATAAGACAAGGGTAATGTAAAGCACAAAGGGTGCAGAACTGAATACGAAGAAGAGATTATGCTATATCAATAGAAACTAGAGGGTACAGAGAATTTATGGGGGAGAAAAGAGGATAATAGATAAAGCGAGCACATATAAGATAGGTGTGTAAATTAGTGGTCGATTATCTCCCATTGCCAAGGCCAGCTGAGCCGGCCGGAGCCGGCGAGCTCGTTGACTCTCTCTCTCCTTGAGGGCGGGACTTAGTTGCTTATATAGTTGGCGAGGGGCGGGGCAAGAGTGCAGGGATTAATAGCGCATTACCGTATTTAGCGCTTTTCCTACATGATTTTCTTTCGGAAAGTTCCGGTCCCCGGGACTAAAAGAATTTCACAGGTGCATCTTGGCAAATGGCGGTAACATGGCCGATGGCATTGCAACGGAAGCAGGTTGGGTTCTTGCATTCTTTTAGAGGATGGTCTTCGAGGCAGCGAGGACAGAGCTGTATCTTTGAAGGAGTATGCGCGCTCTTTTATGAAGCGCAATTTACGTGGAGGTCTGGGCGTAGTAAGTAGTACCCTACGGCGTAAAAATCTTTGGGAGGCTGGTGTTGGCACATGGATAGTTATTGTGGAAGATGCGGCGTTTTCCGGAGGATTTGTGGTAACGCCAGAATCGCTAACTGGGGAAAGAGTTGTGCTTTTGAGAAGTAGTTGTATGGTTAGAATCGTTTACATGGGGAGCATAGATGCCTTCCAAAGGGTTTATGGTACTATTAGAGTCGTTGACTTGGGGAGGATTTCCTTCCAAGGGGTTTATGGTATTATTAGAATCGTTAACTTGGGAAGGAGATAAAACAGGATAGGATACAATCGAATTCAAATCAGATTTTGCGGGTACAACGAGGAGGATCTCAGGAGAGGGATTATTATTTGAAGATGTTACATCTAAAGTAATAGCGATATCAGAAGGAAAAGTGGGAGTAGAAAGAAGATAACGAGTTAGGGAAGGGGATGGAGAGGTGGAAGGAGAAGAAGAAGGAGAGGAAGAAGAGAGATAGTACGATAGAGTAGGTGACTGTTGCGTGTGACGAGAGCGGGATGACGATGACGAGCGGGATCTCTTGCGACTGAAACGTTCGGAGGCGGCAGGAATCGTATTTGTCGACATCTGGAACTGTTTTCCTATGGAAGTCATTGATTTTGTGCGTTCAACGTGTTTAACACGCTATTCTGGGCAATAGCGTGGCAGGGGGCGCTCTAATGCGACGGGTGCGGCGCGCGGCGTGCGCGCGTCGCGGCCTAATTGATTTCGGCGGGTGACGCCGCAATTCAAAATCGTTGCGTCATTTGGAACGCTATGATTGTTTTTGGCATTCATTTGTCTATACGTTCGCTGCTGTTGCATGTTATTCCTTATTTACCTGTTTCTGCATTAATTTTTTTGCCGGTTCGTCCACATTTCTGCCTTGGTGACTTTGATTAGGTTAATCTAGTATCCCTTTTTCTCGTTGTCGCTTAATTTCGCAATAATATGATTGTTTGTGCGCTGAACTCGTTATGTCTTGTACGTAAAGTAATTTCTTATGATCTATCGACTTTTTTTCCAGATGGCCCACTCTGTTGATCGAAGCTTTTGCCCCTCGCGTTGTTTTGAGCGAGGGGTTTGCTTCTCTAAGGGGCCTACCTACGTCTGTGTTTGTTACGACATGGACGTTTATTCTGCTGATTGTGCTACTATTCCTACTGGTGGCTCGACTACGCTAGAGCCTTATGTCTATTATTTGATATGGGCAGTGCTGATTGCGGGTAAGTGTTTTTTTTGTTTGTTTTCGCTTTCTTTTTTTAATGCTTTTTCTTTTTTTCCCCTCCCTTCCCCCCCCCTCTCTTCCGATTTTCTTTGCAGCATAAAAATAAATAGTTTCAGCAATCAGAATAATACACCTCTTGAGTCCCATAACCAGATTTTGCTGTGCCATTCGTCTTAACTAACATGCATGACTATTACAGAAATCAGCTTAAAGCATAACATTCAATTCCGCCATCGCTAAAATTCACCACTGCGTTCTCATGGACGCTGACCGCCAATATCAACACGTCAGCGACCATTACCAACGCCTCGCCAAGATGCCCACTTGGATGGAAAGTCACCAGAAGACGTCAAATATTATCCGACTCAGTTCGATGATAGAGATATTGGAGGACGACGATCTATGGCACATCTCAAATTACCGAATAACCGCCTATACATTCTTGGCTGTTAAAATAGCTCGTAGAGCCCTTGATGGGGCCACAGGAAACCCTATCAACGATTTTCGCAGCATACGCGTGCTAGAAAACGAACTGCGGACAATACGCCCTGCAAATGTACATGTTGCCCCTTTGAACGAACGATCGTAGAACACTTACAAGTCCGGAGCAACGATACATTGCGGCATCCACGGGCTCCTCTCGTCGAAATCGGAATCGGCGAGCAAGCTCGCCGACTCACAATGGAGCAGATATGGTTGGAAATACCAAAGCTCACGATCCCGTCCGAGGAGCCGGAAATAGCGGTAATAGAGACGACTGCTGGCACCACAACCGACCAGCAAGCGGCATGTCTAACACGTCAAGCTGGCATGTATTGAAGGAGAAGAAATAATCGCCACCTTAAAAGGTCCTTTCCATATTTTTTTTGATATTGCTAATCTACCTCATTCCATTGTGTGGTTCTTAAATTTTCCTCGTTTTGTCCTATAAACATCGCTGCAAAAGTTCTTACAATTAGTGGTACCGGAACAAAAAAGAGACTGCTCTAAATATACATGCTTCGAAGCATGCTCACATAAGGGTATTCATATCACACCGAATATTTCCATATTTCCAAACTATACTAAATGCTACGGTTACAGACTCCATGTAAATTGTAGGAAAAGCGCTAAATACGGTAATGCGCTATTGGTTCCTGCACTCTTGCCCCGCCCCTCGCCAACTATATAAGCAAATTTCTTTTACTAAGGTTTATTAACAAGAAAAGTATTATAGGACAGGGGTACTACAAGACAGGAGTACTATAAGAGAGGAGTATTATAAGACAAGGGTAATGTAAAGCACAAAGGGTGCAGAACTGAATACGAAGAAGAGATTATGCTATATCAATAGAAACTAGAGAGTACAGAGAATTTATGGGGGAGAAAAGAGGATAATAGATAAAGCGAGCACATATAAGATAGGTGTGTAAATGAGTGGTCGATTATCTCCCATTGCCAAGGCCAGCTGAGCCGGCCGGAGCCGGCGAGCTCGTTGACTCTCTCTCTCCTTGAGGGCGGGACTTAGTTGCTCATATAGTTGGCGAGGGGCGGGGCAAGAGTGCAGGGACCAATGCATTACCGTATTTAGCGCTTTTCCTACACCGATCCAGTTGGTTTGGTAGTTGGTCTAGAAACCAACAAATTTGAGAACGGATATTAGGACACATAAGTTTTGGGAACTTTTTGCATAACATAGTTTGGAGTAATGTTGTATACTCATAGCCCAAATTCGAAGCCATGTGATTGTTTGTGCGCTGTAAACTAGCCATTTGTTTGTTTGAGTCTTGCATTTGAAATTCGCGCGCTTGCGAAAGAACACGTTTAACTCGTGAAACCTGACATGTTCGTCGTGTTTTTTTGGCGCTTCCTCCAGGACCTCATAAAAACGATGTCCACGTTGCTTCTAGATAACTCCAAAAACGAAGTCTAGGTTTGACCCCAAACCATCGGTGTCGGACCCTGCTTTCGCAATTTGCTTAAACGCAGTAGATCGGCGGAATGAGACCCGTGACAAAACAAGGTCACAGGGTAGGAGCCTCCATATTCAATCTATCGGCCAAAGTCCGATAGGTTCCATATGGGGGCTCCTACCCTGTGACCTTGCTTTATCACGGGTCTCATTCTGCCGATCTACTGCCTTTAAAAGCAGCGTCCACCCAGAATTTCGTCTTCCAAGTTTTTAATTTTATCGGGCTTTAAGTGGCGCTGAATTCGGAAATGAAGTTCAAATTACCAGAAGGTCCCAAAATTGCCCCCTCTCTGAAGCCCTATTTTGGCAGACCTGGGCGAGTGTCCCTGCGCTAGTTACGTTTACTGCAGCAGGAAACCTCGTCGTGCCAGTGCCAGATACAGTCGCTTCATTTCATATGATCATGTGTGTTATTGCACACACATTGCACCTTTGGCGTCCCCATCCTAAATTCGTAAGAGAAACAAGCCTTCAGGTAAGTGTTTTCAAGGTGTTCTTAGCATTTTCTTTCCTTTTTAGTTACTAGTCACCTCAAATTGATGTAATCGATAACAATCGGTAAGTCTCTTGCGTTTTTGCGATTGCAAAACCAGGATAAGGACGCCAAAGTGGACTGTGTGTGCAATGGCACACATGATCATATGAAATGAAGCGTGTAAGGCTTGATACATAACTGGCGTTGAGTGTCTACTATACGTAGCGGTGGCAGCAACGTATTTAATGCGTATTGATTGCAGCGGAGTGACGCTGCTGCTTCACGCTGCAGCTGCTAACGCAGAAGGTCATGTCCATAGCGACTCATTTTTGAGCAGCGCTGCTCGTGCTGATCAGCGCTGCACTAGATTTTGCAGCTGAGCTAGGCTTGATACATACCTCGCTGCTTAAGTATGGAGAAAACCAGCGAGCAGCGAAGGCAGCGCTGCTCCGGCTGATCAGCGCTGCCTTCGCTGCTTCTTGAGTGCATGTTGAGTGCAGAAACCATCAAAAATGACTGCGCTAATGTCGAGTTTTATTATGTCAAAATGAAGAGAATTAGCATATTTTAAGTTGTATCTGGTCCATACTTTTATGAGAAGTTCTTCATTTTTCATTTTTCATCATTAAATTTACAATAGAAAGGTAGCTCATACGCGCAAACTCAATAGAGCAATTCAAGTGTATTCATTCCATTCGACCCCTGATAAGGCAATGGCTGTCTCAGTAGTATGAAAGTGTCCCTCAGGCAATGACATGATTGGAGTCCATTGGAGGCCAAATTATATCTGATTATGCTGTCAGCTTTTTAAATTATTGCCAAGGTGTAGTCAGTATCAATTATTTCATTTCTCTTCAAGTTCATGGAGTATGTCCCTCCAGTGCGTCTCAATATTTCCCATATCCTATGAAACCCCAATCAAACGGTATCAGGTTGTATTCATGATTTGCTCACGCAATATGAAGACGGACTCTGTTTTCAGAACGCTAGGTAAAGCTTGAAAATTGCTAAAAAATAGGTAATTTCGAGCCAAAACAGCTGTTTGCAGCTCACAGCAGCTGAGATAAACTCAGAAAAAGTGAGCATAACTCAGCTGCAAATCTCGTTGGAGCGCTGACCAGCTTGAGTAGCGCTGCGCAGCGCTGCTCAAAAATGACTCGCTAGATATGGACACGACCTTCCATGTTAGCTGCTGCAGCGGGAGGCAGCAGCGTCATTCCGCTGCAGTCAATACGCACAAGTAGCATTGCTGCCACCGCTACGTACATACACCCGACGCTAGGTATGTATCTAGCCTTACGCTCACTTTTTCTGAGCTTATCTCAGCTGCTTCGAGCTGCAAACAGCTTCTTTTGTTTGAATCTACCTACTTTTACCGGTTTCAAGCTGCAATTAGCGCTTTAAAAGCAAAGTCCGTCTCTCTTGCATGAGCAAGTTATGAATGCAACCTAAATCATCAAATTAGAATTTTAGAGGCGGATATGGGAAAACACTGAGATAAACTGGAGAGGGATACTCCATGAAAATGAAGAGATGAAGTAATGAAAGTCAACTACAGATTGGCAGTAATTCAAAGAGCTGATGGTGTAGTCAAATAAAATAGATGTTTTATAAAATTTTGCCTCCAGTGGACTCCGATCATGTCATAGCCTGAGGGAAACTCATATTGCTGGGACAGGGCCGAACGGATCCAGTACATTTATGCTCCACTTATGTTTGCTCGTATGAGGCTACTATCTATTATAAATTTCGTAATGAAAATGAAACTGAAGAACTCCTCATAAAAGTAGAATATAACTCCAGATCCAGCTCAAAACATGCTAATTCTCTCGTTTTCGACATTATAAAACTTGGCGATAGCGCAGTTATCATGGGTGGTTTTTGCACTCAACCAGCACTCAAGAAGCAGCCGAATGCAGCGCTGATCAACCGAAGCAGCGCTGCCTTCGCTGCTCGCTGGTTTTGTCCATACCTAAGCACCGAGGTATGTATCAAGCCTAACAAATTATGCGCCTCGACGTTGCTTGTCATGTCAGACACATCAAGGGGCAATCCTTGAGTGAGCGGAGCGCAAGAAAGGGGGCAGAGCGCAAACAGGATCCAGGTCCAGGTCCGTATCTCCTTTTGTAGGCAATATTAGGGGCCGGACCAACGCTGTTGGTCTAGTTTTAGGGCTTGCTAATAGGATAAGTAGTAATCTGGAGTGAAGAGATTTTGAGCGGACGCTGTTTTTGAGCTAAAGTTCCTTGAGGGCATATGGCAACGATATAAGCTGATCAAACGAAATATGCAAAACGTGATTTTTCAATTATTGGTTGCTAAAATTGCTAAAACGTCTACTGAAATAAAATGTGCTTTTAATTTTGGTTTCATGACCTACTCTTTTTTATAGTGTGCTTGCGCTGTAGGTGAAATGCGGTAAAACTCGCGCGTAAACAACTAGGCACGCCAGTAATGCCGGCATTCTGCGTTCGCAATTGGAAGGCGTCACAGGCGTATTTAGCTATTTGTTCACGCGCAAATTTTACCGCATCTCACCTACAGTGCAAGCACACTATATTAAACGGAAAATCTACTCGATTTAACTAAGGGAGTTTGGCAGTGGTTGGACGGCTTTGAGTATAGTTATGAATTTTGATTTTTTTGGATCAACTTTTAAGCAGTATTTTTGATATACATGATAAAGAGCATATTGCATACATTCATTAGTTTCTTTATGCATTTTCAAATATTTTTTTCTATTTTTTTGGTTTTTCGCATCCAATAGTTATTTATCGGCTGATGCTAAAAAAGCAAACGAGAAAGTTAATGATGTTTTATAACTGCTAAATCATCAAAAATAACGTAAATTCTGTAAATTCCCTAGAATACATATTGTTGGAAAATGCTCCTGAGATCATCATTACGAAGTTGGCGGGAAGAAGAGGCGATTAGACCCTCTCAGCAGGGCATAGAAGGGGAAGAAAACAGGGAGCTGCGAGCAGAAGAGGCTCCTGGAAGTCAAAAACTGGTCAGGAGAGAGCCATACCTCTCACGTAAAAACAGCAAATATCAATCTAAACGTAACCTTGTGAAGCCTTGCTAGAGGGTCAAATCGGGACACTTCTCCCGATTTCGTGTTTTTTTGTTGTTTCTGTAATTTGTTGTCCTTGGGGCTTATTGTTTGTTTGTTTTGCCATACGGATGAAATTTCTTGTTTTCAATATACTCGTGTGCCCAGTTATCAAGGTTCTCAATATACCACTAGACACTAGGCCTCAGTTAAAATATGAGTATATCCACAATTGGTATTTCACCATCAAATTGAATGCACAGAGCATTTTTCAGAGCTCTCTAAAATTTAGCAACTCCTCGCGGACACTTCGCTTTGGTTTGTGAATTCCAACCCGTACCTCGATTATCCTCGTCCCACACTTCACAGAAGCCTCTCAATTGGAGGGATAACCGTATCGAGTGATCACGAGAAAAATGAGCTTCCGGTGGGTGGTAGGCGTTATAGCCCCATATGTAGTCTTCTTAATTTAGTAGCCATATTGTGTTATTGCGCTGTTTTTGAGACTTCTGATGGTGCCAAATACGAAATAATGAAAAATTACGTCCAAATGATTGCGTAAAAAAACAAGGTACTTGCTTTGGGATGTGCCACAAATCATAAAGTAGTGCAATTACACAGAGTGACTGCTAAAACGATGACGACTTTACGCATTCGTAGGTAGCAGGAACTCTTGCAGGAATGGGATGCATTTTTGAACGAACGCAATACGACAGTCCTGGTGTCGTTCGGATCAGTAGCAAAAGCAGTCTACATGCCTGATAATTACATGTAACGTGTGCAAAAGCATCGGTATTTTGAATTCAAAAACAACGTTGTAACTCCAAATTTCTCAGTTATTCAGGTTTCTTAACAATATTAATTAAAAAATTACTTTTTTTAGGCAATCGCTTCTGAAAGTTTTTGAGAGCATGCCGGAAACAACGTTCATATTCAAGTACGAGGAAGAAAACTCAAAAATAGCCGACCATCTTCGCAATGTTCATCTGAGCACATGGCTTCCTCAAAATGCTCTATTGGGTAGGTTTTTAGCCTGTTAAAGAAGAGTCTGCTTTTTTCGGAATCTGTTAGTCAATTTGAATAGAATGAAATCTCACAATAGGGCCTTTTCTTAGATGACGTCTGCAGATAAGTCTTGATTCATCTGACAGTCTTCCGGCTCAGATTTTAGCGTAATCATAGTGAAAATTTAGAGCTTATTTATAGAGCGTACTCAACTGAAGGAACTGTAGGGCGGACTTATTTGAGTCAAAGCGGCTTTATTGTAAGATTTTGGGGTATTCGCTTCTTTCAAATTCTTATCAACTAGTAGCTTCCAGTCACTTATGCAAAGATCGCTATTCTGCTGCACAATTAGTTACCATGATCATCTTCTAGCGGCCCCAGTTTAATCGGTCATACAAAATCAGAAAACAGGCAAGTAACCGCATGCTTCTACAACTGTTTCATTGTTTACTCTAAATCAAACCAACAAGAAGTAACCAGCAGGTCAACATCACTGTTTAATTATTAAATAAAACAATTTAATTAGCATTTTATTTCACGTGATACAGACGTTGGATCATCACATTATTGTTTAGCATAATAGCTGCTCACTTTTTTGTTAGAAACCATGCTTTGATCATTACATTCGTCAAGAGGAGTGCAGCAGTTCTTTCTAAAAATTAATTTGGGGAAGTTCACTTAATCACAGGCAAAGCTGAAAATCGAACTGTAAATTTGCCGAAGTGCTGTGAAGGCGGCCAAACATGAGAATGACTGGAAGCTCGATTTACTTCAATGACATTGCTCCATTGAATTTAGAATTGAATGAAAATTTGCCGTTATTTGTGACATTTTACCTCGTGGTTTCATTGAGAAAATAGTGTGAAGCTGCTGATTACCTCGTGTTATGAAGAGTCACTTGAACTGATGGTTTCGACCAAAATACAGCCAATCCTGATTTGAAGCGGTTGTTGTTTTTGCGTTTTTGCAACTCTTCCCTGTTTCATTTCAACTTCGGGAAGGCTAAAACTTTTCACAAAAGCAATCAAATTTTCGTAGATGGTGTTGTACAGCGCTGGACATAAACATGAAGACACGCTAAAAGTCGTTGTAATTTGCGTTCTTTTGATAAATCTGTCCGAAACTTTGCTATGGTAGTGCGCATGTTAGCCTACCATGGCCCCTAAAACGGCTTTCGATCTTGTTGAGTTCGAACGAAAAAATATAGGAAAATTCGAAAGAGCCCCTAAAAAAGCTGGACAAAATCATAGAGCATGGTTTTTTCAACACTAGCGCATACCCTGACTCTAAAAAATTTTTTTGTACAGTTACATACCAAGATATGAAACATTTGTAACATCTGCGACCTGTCATCCTTTTTAAAGAAAATTGATCAGTGTATTTTTCTTTTCTAAAATCATCAAAAGTGACTATGCTTCAACACACAGCTGGTTTGAGGAGTTTCCAAGCTTTTGTTTAATTCAGATGATAATCATGGTATCCACTGAGCCTTTCCATGAATGAGTTGGAGAGCGCTTTCGTAAACTCTGAGTAATTGCTGATAGAACGGCAGACTCGAATCTCAATATAGGTTTTACACGCTTTTAGATTACAAACTCAGTTTGCAACGTTCATAAAGTGCTGGACTTGATTTATTACATTGCCACATGGTGATGCAGCTTTTGCAACAACTTTTCAGATTTTCCCTAGTGATGAAGTCACGAGTTAGACCTGAAATACTCTCCACCAAAAATCTCTGGAAGCAGTAGATTCGACGTAATAAACTCACTAATTTCCTCTCTGTTCCATGTCAGATTTTACCCAGAGAATGGGATTAATCAAGATTTTGAGGTTTTGAGCGGTCTCCTGTTCTATCTCGTTCTGATTGGCCATCATTGTGCAGGGTGCTCCACTCAACATTCAATGGGTGACAACTGCGGCTGAACCAGAATGCTGACTTCGAAATTTTCTTCTAACCATCCACCAGGTTTACTGTTGTACAGCCGAGGCTACATTACAGTGTTTTATGCTGCTTGAAAACTGATTTTTGTGGTTTAGAAGCGTGATCAATCTTATAATAAGATTGGAATCTGTTCGTCCATAAGCGCAGACTTTACGAAAACGCTCTTCAACTCATATATCGAAAAGGCTCAGTGGATTCCATGACTATCATCTGAAATAAACAAGATTTTGAAAACTCCTCAGACCAGCTGTATGTTGAAATATTTTTACTTTTGATGCTTTTGAAAGTGAAAGATGCAATGATCATTTCGAAAAGGATGACAGGTCGCAGATGTTACAAATGTTTCATTATTCAGTATGTAACTGAAACTGTAAGTGTGACTGCACAAAATAATTTCAAAGTCGGGGATGCGAGAGTGTTCAGAAAACCCAAGTGGCTTTATAATTTTGCCCAGCTTTCGGTAGGGGCTTCTTCGAATTTTTCTATTTTTCTCCATTCGAACGCAACAAGATTGAAATCTTTTATAAAGGGTCATGGTAGGCTAACATGTGCACTATGCAGCAAAGTTTCGGACAGATACATCAAAAGAACGCAAATTACGACAATTTCTAGAATGCGTACAATTTTGTCCAGCACTGTACCTGCAAATGCTGGTTGCTAAATCGGAGTGTTTGGTCTTCTACCTCAAAATGCAAAAAATTGAAACCTTTTGAATGGTCTATACTTCTCAAATTCTATCTCGTAACTATCACATTAAATGTTTCTCAGGTCCTAAGAAATGTGCAAAAAAATCAATAAAACGATAAAGGCAACTATTTTATATCCTTTGCCTAATATGATACTTTGCAGATTCGTTTAATTGAGACTTGCAGGTGATCCGCGGCTGACTGCCTTTATAACTCATGGAGGACTTGGTAGTGTTACGGAAGTAGCTTATCAGGACAAACCGGCCATTTTGGTAGTCAAATTACATTAATTTTGATAATAAGTGAATATCAGCAATACCATTACAGATTCCAATCTTCGCCGATCAGCCGCGAAACGCCAAGATGCTCGCCAAACATGGAGGTGCTATTTATTTGACAAAATACGACTTGAACACTCCTGAAAAGTTGAAAGAAAGCCTCAGAATTATTCTCAACGATCCAAGGTAATTTTGTATCTGACTAGATTATCAAGAAAAAAAAATCGGAACTTACAAAGCAATTCTACTGCACAACCTTCATCTTGGCAATTTTAGTTACGCTCGGAACGCTAAGCATTTAGCCGAGATGTTACGCAACCCGCCCATAAGTTCAAAGCAACTATTTCTTCGACATTGTGAATTTGCTGCAAAGTAAGATTCAAATCACATTTTCTTGTTGACAAAATCGGTTAAGGTTTGGTCGTTTGCCTAGCTTGGATCCGTATGGAAGGCAGCTCTCATTTGTACAATACTACTTAATCGATATTGCACTACTTCTCATGGCTATTACTGCTATTGCCATTTATGCAATAACCAAGGTGTTTTTGAAATGTCTTTCAATAGCAAAGAAGGTCAAGAAAGACTAAAAGTGTTCTAGCAATTTTAGACTGTTCAAATGTTGTGTATTATATGTTTATAAGCAGTGTGAATAAAGGTTGATTTCTAATGTATACGTGCAATGGTATTAATGCATACTGGCCACTGAAGATACGGCATGCATGTTTTTAGGCTATAAAATAGCGAAGGTATGAATGAGAAGAATACTATTATGACATTCCTGTCATCCTTCTAATGAGCCATCCTAGATTTAAACAAAGTGGAACTATTAGGTTGTCCGGAAATTAATGCAGGTTTCAAATTCCAACCGCAATAAGTCATACAGTTCTCATTTCTAAGTAGGTTGCAAAACACCATTCGATAGAATAAAGCAAGCTCTACAAGATGGCTATCTTGCTTTAGCAACAGCTCTGATCCACCACGAGTTTCGAGCCAAAAACTAAAAAGATTTAACTGCCCGAAAAAGTGAGAAAAATCGTAGCTCAGTTCATAAAAATCCTACATAAATTCTAATTTGCTCACGTAAACACAATCCACATAGGGCATCTATATACGCCGTTGCCGTATTCTTTTCTCTGTTAGAAATTGAGAAAACGGAAATTTTCGTGCATTTGCCGAAGTGATGGTGTGCCGTTCTCACATAAGTAGTTGTATACTACGAACCTGTAGAAGTACAAACGTAAATTTCCAGCCCTCTACAAGCTTTAGTTCTCGAGAAATATCGAATACAGTTTTCTCTAGTCATGTGGTCCAAGCTAAAATTCAAATTTCTCGAGAACTAAGGCTTGTAGAGAGCTGGAAATTTACGTTTATACTTCTACAGGTTCGAAGTATACAACTACTTATGTGGGAACGGTACAGCATCACTTTGGCAAATGCACGAAAATTTCCGTTTTCTTGATTTCTAACAGAGAAAAATACGGCAATGGCGTATACAAATGTCCTATGTGGATTGTGTTTACGTAAGCAAGTAAGAATTTTTGTAGAAATTTTGTGAACCGAGTTACGATTTTTCTCAATTTTTCGGTCAGTTGAATCTTTTTAGTTTTTGGCTCGAAACTCGTGGTCGATCAGAGCTGTTGTTAAAGCAAGATACCAATCTTGTAGAGCTTGCTTTGTTCTATCGAATGGTGTTTTGCAACCTACTTAGAAATGGGAACTGTATGACTTATTGCGGTTGGAATTTAAAACCTGCATTAATTTCCGGACAACCTAATATTAAGATTCAGAGTATCCCCAGTTAGCTCCTGTGTGAAGGCACATTTACCGATATCCTCCCTTCACAGTTGAGTGAAGTCTAAGAATTCCTATAACTGTTTCCAGTAGCCTACTGCTATCGCTTGAGCAATATGCAGTGTATGCTGATCTACTTATACAGTAAGCATTATATAAGCACAGTGCACTGGTTCAATAAATAGTGTTGATTTAGTTTGAAGCTTGGTGACACGGTGCGGTTCCACAACGACGTTATCTAAGGCCTATGCTCGCCTCCTTCAAAAGCGTAACCCAGTATAATGTAGGCCGGGATCGAAAGACGCGATTACGACTCATTCTGAGAATTCATCAAGCAAGCCACTGCTCTTTGCCAAGAGTTGGGGCGACAGAGTCTGTCTTTTCATTTCATTGTCTTTCAATTCTGATCTGAAAGCATTTTCAATTCTAGAATACGACTGATTATTTTTGTTTATTTCCATGCACATTATGTGCGCTACAACTTCGCATCGTCTTTGTAGGCTATACTCAGCGATTGAAGTAGTAAGATAAAAGGAAAACGTACTTAATAGGTAAATCATTGTGGTCACAAACGGCCGTAAAAATCATCGACATCGAAGAAAATGCATTTCGTCCTAAAACCAGATCCGACAAAAAAAAGCATCTGTTTGTTGGAAACCAAGTGTCTTGTTCGACGATAGTTGAGTTACAATATTTACCAACAAGACGAACCCGGTATTGAACGGGGGAAGCAACCAATAATACACTCAGAGGCTTCTTGCATAGTTGTAAAGGAGGAGCTGACCCATGTACAGCCAAGAGAAACGTACACAAATGAAGGGAAGTATCGCCGATGCCGATTGACGCTTTCCAGGTGGATGGATACCACATCAGTAAGTGATACGGTAATTAAATATAAGCGGTTGAGGAATATAGCTTATGGGAATGACTATAAGGTATCAGGATTAGAGAGCTGTTGAGGTTGATGATACATAATTTATCAACAATCTGTGATTTGTGACTGTTCTCCTTTATTGTAGTGACAGAGCTGATAATTAGTGCAGAGCACTTGAAATGGCATTTTCCAAATTTGAATAGATTTTCTGACAATATCAAAGTCTAACTAAGTGGTTTTTTCATAGTTCGTTTTTGGTACAATATACCTCACTCAAATTCCAGCATTTTTCAAACAGCAATGCTGTACACTACTTCTACAAATTGTTATGAAAGTCTCTTTTTGGTTTATCTACAAAATTTGCAATATTAGTAGGCTTATCTTAACACGGTTGTAGATTAGAATGATGCGAGCTTTTAGGCTCCCGTGCTCATATGATCGGGATCTTTGGTAGCAGTGATGAAAACTGATAACAGTACAGATGTGTTGAGATAAGATACCAGCACACAAGCAATACTTTGATCTTTTCCGCTCAAATAACTGTAAAGTAACTCAAATCTTTATGTGGAACATTCCTATCATTCTGCTACGCATTTTGACTTATGCAGTCTGCTTCGCAGTGGGTCTTGCATAATTAGCATGACAGCACAGACTTTATTTCCTTTTATGTTCAATGAAATTTGTGCCCTCGTCTTTCTCGAAAGGGATGAAGGTGGTACCACCTTTGCCTTATCACGTTTGGAAAAAAAAGCGATATACAAACATTATTCCCTTTATTTCACGCATGAGCAATCAAGTTTTCCCTCTTGTCTGAGTACTTGTTTGTCACAGACCTTTCATTAGCATTACAAAGATTTAGCATCATTAGAATTTGATAACTCTATGGCCAGTTCTTCCTGATTATTATTTTTTTCTCATGCGATGCAACAAGTACCCGGCTACATCATCTACTAAATGACCTATGAAAGCTAAGCTTGATAAGCAACATTTGTCCATAAATTACGTTGAAAAATCGCTTTCTAGAGATTTACAGGTTCCCGAATAGTAACCTTGTGCTTATGCAGGTAAGTAGCTAGCACAACATGAAAAGTGTCATCAAAACCGCCTTGTCCATTGCTGAAGTAATGTAATCTTTGACGAAGAGTTGTAAGCTGTATTCTATACCACAAGCGAAAACCCTTTGACCCTTTCTTTCTCGCCAACCGAACGATACCTCCTTTTGAAGTTATTTTGAAACACTGAAACGGGCGTATATCAGTCGAGAAGATACAGTCGGGGGCTCCTTATATACACGGATAGAAGGCGGAGCTTGCCCGGGTACAATGTACAACGTAGAAGGGGTACATGGCTTAAAAGGAGTTGCCGCCGTTCGGCTACACTACTGGTACACAGGTGCCAATCATTCTTGAGTGATTAGATACTCAAGAATGAGTGGCGTGCAATTCAGCCTATGGCCCCGGTTGTAACAGTTGTCTCCTCGCGATTCAGTCGCGACGATCAAATCGCGTGAAGTCTGCCCGGGGCCTATGGGAACTCCATAGGCGATGTGGAAAATGGAGTGGATTGATTTGATGATATAGAAATCATCAACAATTATAGGCTGTTTTCATTTTGATTTAGTAAGGAAAACCCAAATTTATGTCTGTCAACGTAGTCTGTGGACACATGGTAATGGACGACGTGAGGCTTTGTGTTTGCTGTTTTGAAAACTTTCTACTATAGCACACTTTTTATGCTCCAGCTACCGACAAAAATTATCTGTCCGAAATTTGTGACAGACGCAGTTCAAGTCAAAACGTTGAATAAGAGTTGCTGTTTTTTCTTATACAGACTATTCATTCGTAGATCCCAGGGTTCATATCAGAAGAGGAATTCAGCTAAAAGCTGCATATGCATGGTAATCAGGTTTTAATTGTACGTTCGCTCGTAAAACTTACACGAACATGCGAACTGGTTAGAAGACGCGTGATCTGATAAGTCACTCAACTTTAGACCACTATAGTTACCTATGCACCCATCTCTCTCTGCTTCCAAAGACATCTTTTAGTGCACGAACAATTACAGCTTACTTATTTCTTACAAAACTTCCACGCTTGAAAAAATATGCATTCGACGTGAGTACCAGCAAGTGAAGATCATTCATAACTTACTCTATGGGCAATCCTTCTGTCATGAGCTTAGGTCTTTTGAGACAACAGAGGCTATGAATATAATATGCAGGCAGGACTCTTATGCATTCACAAAAGTGCTATTGAATTCCCATAAAAAAATACCAAGTTTTTTATTATACTATGCGCTTTAAAGTTAGCAGGTGATCCAGTGCAATTTTTCTTGGAAATTAATGAGGGCAGTCATAAAAACTAATTCTGAACAGTACAAAAAAGTCTTGGCTGATGTTGCTTTCCAAAAATCAGCACTGGTCAGGGAGAGGGGGGGGGGGGGGGGGGAGTGGGGGAGGCATTTTGATATCAGCCTTCCATGCGTATGACGCACCCAGTTAAATAAGAGAGCCTGCTTTGGCACCATACTTAGATATTAGGATGACCCGCCTTCACATGACGTGCGGGCCTCAACACAAAAGTCTCCAACCACTCCTGTCCCTCGCTTTTGATCCACGACCTTGGTGGTCTTTGATGGTTGTCCACGAAATCCATTTGCAGCACTCGTACCTAGATGGCTTTCTCAGCTCGTCCAATCGTTCCAAGAATAAGTGCACTTTGCCTCAGAAGTCATGTTTAGGAAAAAAGTCTCAAACATCTTTAGATCGATTTTTTTGATTGTGATTGTGCAAATCAGCTTAGTGGTCTCTTGCCATAGCCATTGACAGAAAGCAACTTTTCAATGTATGTGCAATATTTTTATTTCTTTCATGTTTCAGGTTTTTGGTGGTGTTCCTAATCTATAAAAAAGCCAAAACTTGAGCTTGATTTGTTTTTTATTCAAAACATATCACACAAACAAAAGCATCTGAGCTTGAAATGGCACACTTTGTAAAATTCTATCTGCAAGTTTATTTGCTTTCGGTCATGATTGGGTACTACACTCTGCTCCTCGCATTACTAGCATGTGGGAGTGATGGCTACAAATTCCTAGTCTACTCGCCAATCTATGGATATTCTCATACCAACTTCATGGGCATCTTAGCTGACACTCTTACAGAGGCCGGTCATAACGTGGTAAGCATAAGAACCTATCAGAAGAAGGCTAATCTGTTCAGCTGTCAATTTTTATGTTTATGACAATCAAACACAGCATTCAGACTATGTTAATGCCAATCATGGATGAGGAACAACAGAATAAGACTGGGGTAAAACTTACAACAAACATAATCAAGGTTCCCATAGACGAGCGAATAGCTCCGATAGTGAAATATCAGTCAGCAATGATTTCTAGATTGTGGACCATGCAGCCGACCATATCTGCTCTTTTTGAGGTTAGTTTTTACGTTTAGGTAGATAATCCAACGTGAATTGTGAGATTCCAGATGAAGAAGAACATGACCACGTGGTTCACATGTCAATGTGAAAGTAAGAAATTCACGAGTTATATATTAGGTTGTAACGAAAGTTCACTTTTGGAATTTTCATGTTCTGACGCATTTTTTTGCGCTTGATTGAACTTTGACACCAAGTTGTATACTGTTCAGTAAAAAAGCCTAAGCTTTTCAAAACCGCTTCTGATGTTTATCGATACCAAAAGGTGTCTGCTGCACGTCAAAAAAGGAAATCCAACCATAAAAATTTTCACAAGTTTTCTTCCCGTGGCCATTTTTTGTGCACTTCAAAGAATTTCGTCCATATCATGTGTGATCTGATCGAAGAGCCTGTAAACTTCTAAGCCGCAGCGCACTCGAGTTTCGCAATATGCGCTCAAGAATTACAAGCCGAACTCGCGCCTGACTGCCTTTCCTTTCGCAGCGACGCCGCTTCTGCGGGGATCTTCGCCTGGATGATGGGTCCAAAAGATGTGTAAGGCATTACCCCAACAATGTTCGCAGTAACAAAAGATTTGGTCCACCCTACGCAAAAGGGCAAGACTTTAAAGCCACTTACTCGAAAAATGGTGCTTTTGGGGGCAAAAAATGGTCGACTTTTCAAGTTTCCACAACAGCCTCAACACAATTCTATGTAACTGTAGCATCTGAGCTCTCCATCTCTCATCATTCCTGAGATAATCCTGTACAAATAGGCCACTTTTCGCATCGACCTGTTCCCTTCTGCGCTGGTGGAAGGTGCTGAAAAGCTAACCAGACAGATATATGTTGTAAACAAAATTCTTTACAGTAAAATTTGTGGCTTCAAAGAAGAGTCAATCTGCTTGAAGTTACAGCGAATTAAAAAAATTTTCGCAAGCGTCCGGAACTTTCATTACAATCTAATATGTAGTAACTTTTGGCGCGCCACGAACAATATTTTTAGGGGTTTTTCAAGATGAAAAGCTGATAAAGCAGCTAGAAGAAGAGCACTTTGATGTTGGCATTGCAGAGGGTTTTATGGCCTGCGGTTTTGGTAATTTTTTCACCCTTCCTGCACATCCTCTACCTATGATGAGACGTGTAAATTTTCGAGAAAGGGCAGTTAGCCAAGTCTCCAGAAATTTTCTAATTATAAGCTCCAAATTTAGTGAGCCAGCTACTTTATCAAAAATTTTTATGAAATGTTTTTCAGAACAAGAAGTTACACAATTTTTCAAATCATGCAAGTACCTCCAAAAATTACGAACTTGGTCGTTCCATAAGTTCGTAGCGTTTTCATTTTCGTGCTCATATCTTTGAGGAGCAGTTGGTTTGTGGCAAAATGCGTAGATCATTTGGAAGGGCTAATTGTGTTCTTTAAAATACGTCCACTGATTTCGGTGGAAAGCTGATTCACTCCAATCTCGCACCTTCCAAAGATGGAAATCTTGAAGGGCAAAAAGGAGCAATTTTGGCATTTGCGCATAATTCCTTATGAAAAGAACCGCTTTTGCACAAATTTTCGTGTCGATTAGGGATCATGGCGCTCGAACATCAATATGAGACAAAAAAAGGATTGGATTGCTACAAAAGATCAGGCACTGAGCAGGGTGTCCCTGAACAAGACTTTTCGGGGGACGGGCAGGACGTCCTGCACTGAAAATTGCTGTACAGGTAGGCGATGGTCAACCATACCGTAAGCAATCCAACTGCACCGTCTAAACCAGGTCCTACCGCAGAAAAAGCTTGAGAGACAGATCCAGTGAGCTTTTCTGCATGATGAAACATGGCCTCATACGGCAAACGTCGTCAAAACTGTCCTGCACGATTTGACTGGAAGGTACTACAGTACCCAAAATACTCTCCAAACCTCGCTCTATCAGATTATTATTTGTTTCGCTCTTTGGCAAACCTCATGAAAGGTGCCCGTCTCAATTTCAGTAAGTAGTTTGAGCGTTGGTTATATGACTTATTTGCGACCCGGCGTGCTGCAGTTTGAAAAATTGAGATTGAGAAGTTAACAATAATGTGCCAAAGAGTCGTGCGCCACAACGAGGAATATAATTTTGGTTGGTTTTGACTGTAAATTGATAATTTTTGTTGGATAAAAACGCTACGAACTTATGGAACGACCTAATATTTTGGAGACGCGCTACTATTTTCTGAGTGAATGGTTGCGCTAATTTTAGGCGTTTTCAAAATAGCAAAAATCAAAACTACATTGGCCACTCTGGCCAGTGTTCATATGGATCCCATTTCCGAAGCAATTGGTGAACCAGTCACTCCTAGCTATGTTCCAGGTTGAAATTGACTTACCAGTCGGGTTCTAGCTATCCAAGCAATTTTACAGGAGGAATGTCGGCAGCAGGCGATCAGATGAATATTTTTGCTAGGTTCCAGAATGCGTTAGAAGTTTTCTTTGCCCGTGAATTTATCCCTTCGGTGTTTGTTAGTGAGGTCAATTCTTTCAAAAAGAAGTTCGGCTCCGAGTTTAGTGATTGGCAGGTAGGACCTGAATATTTCTGTGCCCTCATATTTCATTAGCAGTTTATGAAAAAAGTTAAGAAAATGTGCTCTTGATTTTGCTTGGAAAATCGATAGAGATTTCAAGTACTATGTATTACGGTTAAAACCGAATATCTTTTGATTTATGCTATTCGAACTAAAGAAGTCGAATATTCAGGAAAGTGAGTTTATGTGATTATTGCAATAGTCGAATGAATGGAAAAGAGTTTTATTCGAGTATTTATTTATTCGACGAATGAAACAACTTATTCGAACTTTTGTTTGAATATTCGAGTTTCGACTAGATATTTTATCGATTCGTCGAATAAACAAGTCTTCGAATAAAAGTCTTTTTCATTTATTCGACTATTCGAATAATCAAATAATGCACTTTCCTGTCAACTACATCCAGATGAAGAAACAACGTAAATTAAACCTGGATGGTGAACGTTTTGTTCTTCGTTCAGTTCTTGAGTTGCTGGTTATATTTATCGATTTTATCGTTGCAGAATGTGAGGTACGGGTTGAAGTTTGCACAAGGGGGGGGGGGGGGGGGGAGGGAGGGAGCGTAAGTGATCATGCTGAAATCATATTAGAGTGGTGGTTCGATGCCGGTTATCCTGCTTCTGCCGTCCAAGCTGTCGTAAACACCAACACTAACTGCTTTATCGGGGGCGAAGTCACAAGAAGAATGATCATTACCCAAAAAGTGCAATGAATAAAGCATACGCAAACAAACATTGAATCCACATGAACAAATTTCTATACTACAGCAGTGTCTGCTGGTTCCTCTTGATCGCGATCTGCGATACACATAATGGAGACAGGGTATTGGCATATAGATATGGGAGGGAAACAGAGAAATGTTGTACGGAAATAGAGCATGATCTATCACCGTGTATTGACAAGACCGAGCGGAGCCAGCTATTATTAAAAAAATAACTTCTTAAACGATATTTCGCTGCCGCTATTCAACATGTACTGCAGTTTCAATCACATTGAGAAGGAAACTTCAATTTAGGAAAAGGAAACGCAAAACATGCCGTATAGCTGATTGGGTCACCGAGCGCTTTTATCACTTCATCAAGCCTATTGGACATGTTCCTAACAAATTTCTATGCAACTCCGCGTCAGTGTTATTTCAAGCGTGTATAAAGGGTTTACATTCTTCAAAGCCTCATATCACTAATATTTGAAAAGGTGTCAAAACTGTAGAACTATTAAAACCAATAGCTGTCGCAAAGAAAGAAAGTGGCCATCAAAGTCTAGCTCAAGCGCTGACGTTAAAGAGAATATTCAAACGACCTCATTACGCCACAGTAGTGGTTTGGCTCATTGGAGTATTCGCACTCATTTTTTTACATTTTTCGTTTTGCTCCACACCAGGAAAAGGATCGAACAAGAGACTTTGAGTAACACTATAGTTGAAAGGTTGTCTGAGCTGTGAGATATCTTGCACAATCAGATGAAATTCAGTCTTTTAATTTGAAGCTCAATTTTTTCTCGATGTCCATAACAACATAATTTCAATTCTAGCAACTCTTCGCCGATGCTTCGTATCTATTTACTAACTCCAACCCCTACCTTGACTATCCTCGTCCCATGCTCCATAAAACCGTGAATATTGGTGGAATTACAGCGTCGTATGACCCAGAAAAGAACAGGCTTTCAGCTGTTAGTGCACGGTAACATAGCATTGTGACAACTATGTACCTGTAGGAGTGGGATGCGATTTTGAACGAGCGCAATACGACAGTCTTGGTATCGTTCGGATCAGTAGCAAAGGCAATCTACATGCCTGATAAATACATGTAACTAAAGCGTCGGTATTTTGAGTTTGATAGTAACGTTGTGATTTTTAACTTCTTTATTCAAACTCTTCTAATAATGAAAAAAAATATTTTTCAGGCAAACACTTCTGAAAGTCTTCGAAAGCATGCCGGAAACAACATTTATTTTCAAATTTGAAGAGGAGAAGTCAAAAATAGCTGATCATCTTCGCAATGTTCATCTGAGCACGTGGCTTCCTCAGAAAGCTCTTTTGGGTAAGATTTTAGCATGATACAAAAGTCTGCTCCATACCTGAGTTTGCTCGTTAAGGTGATATATGCTCTATCAGCTTTCCTCAAAATGTTGGGATATTAGCTTATATTAGTTATAGAAATTACACATTTATACCTAGTACCGCTCATCTGTCCTGAATAAAAGAGAGATGCCAAAAAAATAATGAAAGGTCCTAGATCATTTACTTCGTTGACGTAATTGCATCTTCTTCTTTCTTTTCTTCATTGGCCTCATTTCTACTGCTTCTTGTGTCCTGGCCGCCGCCTTTCCTCTATTTCTTGCTTTCAAAAAGTTAAGAACGTGAAAGCAATTAAAATTCTAGCAGAAACTGTTAAATAACGTTGCCAATTGGCAGCATTTGCCTTACACATCGAAAAGTACAAAAAAGTGTTATCTTTTATAACAATCGACTTTCAAAGTTTTATCTCGTTATCACACGTTTGCTCACCCATGTCAATCCTAAAAATTGCAAAAATCAATGGAGAGAGAGAGAGTTTAAGTCAGATGCTGGCACCAGCTAGCACGGGAAAACTGGATGTCGTTTTTGGGACAAAGAGCAAAGGGGATATGTTTTTGTCGACAAATTGCGACGTTTTTTTAGTCGACGTTTCGTTTTTGGGGGGTTTTTTAGGTTTAGGGATTAGGGCCAAGGGGGACGTCGTAAAACTTAGCGAAAAACCAAGGGGACTTCGTTTTGAAAATTCCCTGGTGCCAGCTCGTGCCGAGCCCTGGTTCAAGTTGATAACTTTGTTTGGAACTCAGCAGTGATTTCGATTGCGACTATTTGGGACTTGCAGGTGATCCGCGGCTGACAGCCTTTATAACTCATGGAGGACTTGGTAGTGTTACGGAATTAGCTTACCAAGGCAAACCGGCTATCCTAGTAGGCGAATCACAATGTTATTGAAACATATAAGGTAATCTCAACAAAGAATACCAGATCCCACTCTTTGGCGATCAACCGCGCAATGCTAAAATGCTCACCAAGCACGGAGGTGCTATTTATTTGACAAAGTACGACTTGGACACCCCTGAAAAGTTGCAAGAAAGCCTCAAAGTTATTCTTAGCAAGCCAAGGTAACTTATTAACTCACTTAATCATCACAAACTTCAAAGAGGAGATAGTGACTTCACCGAACTCAGCTTTCACTTCTTTGAATCTAGTTACGCTCTGAAAGCTAAGCGTTTGAGCGAGATGTTACGCAACCAGCCTGTGAGTCCAAAACAACTATTCCTTCGACATTGTGAATTTGCTGCAAAGTAAGTTTGAATTTGACTTTCTTTGACTGACAAGTTCCGTTAAGGTTTGGTCGCTTGCCTAATTTGGATCCGTACGGAAGGCAGCTTTCGTTCATGGAATATTATTTAATCGATGTTGCACTACTTCTCATAATTATCTTCGCTATTGCCATTTATATAATGACTAAAGTGCTTTTGACATGTTTTTCAATATCAAAGAAGGTCAAAAAAGACTGAGATCGCTTTAGCGGTTTTTACTGCTTAAATGGTATGTATTGCCTGTATAAAATAAGTATAATGAAGCTAGTTCTCGTTGACTATGTACAATGGTGCTAGTGCGTACTCGCCTCTAAAAATGCGACGTAGATAGTTTTTAACACATTAACGACAAGGCCAATTCTTCGATTACTTTTCTTTGGAAGAAGTTTAAAACATGTGTCCGAAAATTTTCCCATAAGGGTTGTCGGAGGCGCTGATTACCAAAATGTGATTTATTTCAGTTTCTGGCAGTACACGGTAAGGTTACGGTAATCGTTCTGTACGAACTAAACATCATGGATTTTGATGAAGAATTGTGTTTTGGGGTTATTTCACGTGCAGATCACTTTTGTAGTGTCCCATTTGTTCACTACTTTCCTTACAGTGGGACTACGGTAGCAATACGTAGAATTTTTGTAAGAAGCAAAAAACTGATGCAAGAAGCGGTATTAGAACTTGAGAGTATTATTTTCATAGTCAGCATGCTAAAAAGCTATATGTAAGGTTTGAGCTGCCTGGGATGAAGAATGCGAAAAATCAATATCGATAATTTTTTGATGGACTGACATCAGCCTCGTGCCCTTCCTGTATTTCTGGTGCATGTAAGGTCAAATTTTCAAAAATAGCACCACTCTGCGAATAGTTTGAGCTAAAGTTTGTACCTTACCTCTATCTACGGTATACCGTAACATTACATTACAGTATCCCAAACCCGGATCACTCTGGCTGGAGCTTCATCAAGGTGTCCCCAATCATGTATCAGAACCCCGCAGATTTTCACCGTATACTGACAAAGCTAAAGCTTCAGTAATCTTACGACCCACTGGTGGGTCGTATTATCGTGAATGTGTTAATCTACAAGAAATTTCGATTTTTCATTTTTTGCGGTTGAAAAGCCAAAAGTCTATAAAAAGAACCTCAAACCATTGCTATCGCATGAAAAGTTGCAATGAGATGTTCATGATACAGTGAGCATTATATTAGCATACAGTGCTTTTGGGCCAAAAAAAGGAGCTAGTTTAGTTTCGAATCATGGCAACGCTCAGCACGCCCTTATAGTATCCGAGACCTTCGATTTATTCGACGTAAACGACGACCTACCCTACTACATACTCAACGCGCGACTGGGAAGGTAAACAACAAAAAAGGTCCAATGGCATTAAATTACAGTTGAAGCAGAATACTACCACTAACAGTTCTACCAATACCCAAAAAAGAACTCAGCAAGCACGGGACGGGTACCCATTCTATGTGTGCAAGAAGGACAAATAGTCGTAATAATTTTTCTAGCGCATCAGTAGAGCAGTGATAATTATCAAAGTATAAGTTAGTTATTAGTTACCAGACCGAAGTGCCGCTTCGCGGCACTTCGGTCTGGCCCGTGTGTGAAGTGGGATATGCGTAGGAGTTCGGAACATTGCTTTTTCTTACGGTTAGTCAAAACGTGTCTGCAAACATCTGCTAATAGCGAAAACAGGAAGTAAGTGAAATTTCTATGGGTTTTACACGTTGATGTGAATGAAATATACAGCAGAGCTTTTCTTATCTCCCCAAATGTTTGGCATATAGAAGATTTACAGATTTTGCAAAACATATTGCTGGGCCTAAAATAACCAAATCTGCTGAGATTGTGCAACTTGGACTAAAAGTATGCCATCTAACATCTGGAAAAGTTTTTGGAAGAGATTGAAAGCTCTTCTGTCACACTGCGCTGCAACCCTCCCCCTCCGTGTTTTCAATCCCCCCTCCCCTGCCCTGAAGGCTTATTAGCATAAGCATATTTTGTTTTCTTTCCGAAAAGTTCCCTTTAAAAAATCTTCACGTTTCTCTAGTTCCTTATTTATCCAAAATGTGCCGCACTAATCATATTTTTGAGGTTTTCAGATTAGATTTTTATCAAAATTTACGCATACCCAGCAAGAATAATCTCAACCTTCCAATCCACTTTCCGTTTTTCTATTACTTTCTTTCCCACAAATGAATGTTTTTCGAAAAACCATGCGGAAACGTCTCCGGCCCCCTTGAGCTAGGAAAAACCTGACACTCATTCCTTTCATTGAAAATGTCTGCATGTTCCTAAATCTATCAATATGTAAATTTAGCGATATCAAAATGCGCCATATTTTGCTAGTTTTCGTTTACCCTTCGATTACACCCCAAAAACTACTCTTGAACTTTTCCTGTCAGGACCGCTCAAAGCTTTGATCTCTGATTTGTTTGGAAGCGTGCGTATATCTTTGCCTTCGCCTGGAATCAAAGTGCAGATCTCCCCAAGTTTCCCCACTCTCCTCCTCCCTTGCCCCCCTCCCCTCTTTCGTATCAACTTCCTCTACGCTACAATAACATCTTAATTTTGTGACAGTTTCAAACCATATTCTTCGTACTTCCAGCATTGGGAACCTTCATCTTGCTTTCCTTCAGCTCACAATGATTTTTGTACCTCATCCAATATGCTTTCTATTGACTGATGTTTTCCGAAACCCCAAAACCTTGCTAGCGGAAGCCATCCGGACTCGCGTTGCTGCTCGCTACTGCGATATAGTAATAGTAATATAATGCATAACGATAAGTAACCTTCCCTCACTTTGCTGGTTGGGCTTCTCGATCAACATCATCTAAGACAGGCGCCAAACCATCACGAGACACAGCTCGGTGCACCTGCACCGGCACATAACGACAAAGTTGTTGACATCCGAATCGCGACCACGAAGGGGGGGGGGGTATCTTGCATGCATGAGTCATCTCTAGCGCTTTATTATAGAGAGATTTATTAGGGTGATCACGAAAAAATTGACAAGCTTGATTTTTGTCAAATTTTGAGATTTTTTGTTTCGATCAACAACGAGCAGGCTGCAACGTAAACGTCGCTTATATAAGCGACCTTCCCCTATTATTCTGGCAAAACGTCAACGCTCCTCTCCCACAACCCTATGCGTGGCGCCCTGAAGAACTCGAACAGGGTTTTTTGAACCTCGCTCATTCTTGCGCTGCCATACCGCAAAGTTATAGAGCAGATGATATATCATTCGAAAGAGCTGTTCATGCTCTTTCAAACAGTATATCAAACATACAGGATTATTTTCTACTTCTGGGTAAAAAAAGCAAAATACCTGAAAAATCGCGATTTTTTGGCGCAACAAAAACCAATAAATCAAGTTTCAATATGTTTTTTCCGAAGATAGATAAAATGCGGGATAAACTGCATATAGATGGATAGAGCGTAAAAAGCTCTCTCGGATGTTACCTATAGAACATGCGTTTTCCTGCAAAGCATTGAATAGCACGTATCTTTGTTCTCAAAGCTGCTAATGGCCATATCTCCTGAATTTGAAAGTTCACACCAGCAACCCATCGTGGGTCTGGTGACTGTACCTTCACGCATTGCAGCAGTAGTACTTTGGATGGTTTCGCATATTTCACTGCGCAGATGCTGCTCGAAGTTTATAATTTGTCAAAGTGACTAATTTTGCATTTCAGCCACTATAAAAATTATTAGTTATGTAAATGACCTTATATAGGTATTTTCTGAAAGAGAATAACTATTCTAACATCTATCAAAATTGGGAAGTCTAATCATTTTTCTTCTTGAGAAATCTCCATTTATTCTCTAGGTGTCCCATTTTTTAGTGATCACCCTAATATTAGTCTATTTTATTTTTATTTTTATTTTTATTTTTATTTTTATTTATTTTTATTTTTACTTTTATTTTTATTTTTTTAAAATTTTTTTCGTAGTTTATTCAATAAAAACAGACGAAAGAATATATAGTGCGTGTCCCGGTCAGCTTCCCATAGGTCCTCCGCGACGCGGGCGCAGCGCATGCCTTCAGTGTGCTTTCGTTTCAGCCTTAATGGAATTTTTTCCTTTTCTCTCTCAAGTGACTTTGTTCTTAAGCATCCATGTTCGACTGTCCATAAATCTTGGCATAGTTGAAATCTTCTTGTTAGTTGCTTGAGCGAAGTCCAAGATTGGTGCAGAACTTTATCGCACACAGAATAACAGACTAACGTTTCGGCGAACTCGCCTTCTTCAGAGTCTGAAAAGTCGAAGACACATGAGTAAACTATCCGATCAAACACCTCGTCGACTACAGAAAGGAGCCCAACCCTCTAAGTAAAAACAACAGCCTAAACCAAAACCAAGATTAAGCCAGTGCTCACCTTAACAGATGAAAATTTGGTGGGTGCAGACCACTTATGTCAAAAGCTGTACTGCCTTACTTTTATAGCTAAGTAGTTAATTCAGAGGAATGCTTCGCAGCTAAGGAAAGCAGATTTGAAATTAGCGTTTCAAGCTGATTCCAACCATATGTGCCTTACTTCAAAAGCCCGACCTAAGTTAAGTGACTTCCCTTGTAAGTATACTTTATGAGAATATGTCCCCAAAGGTTTCTTTCACGACTAAGCCCGTATTTCCTGCTGACTTTTGAAGGTAGACGCTTTTAGGTTTTTTTAACACTTCATTAGGGCTTCGCTTCTACTGTTCCAAAAGTGTTGTTTGACTTTTCTCTTGCTTCTATCACCCACCCGGTAATGTCGTACTAGCATCCATGAAACTGGGGGAATCTGAGCTTTTGTGGAAGATGGGAAAGTTCTTGTATTGCTTAGGTTTCTCGAGCTCAGACTAAAGTCTTTCACTCCTCATTTCACTCCTATTTTCAAGTAAAAATGCTTTTTTGTTCGTAAGCGAGATGATAAGTCAAGCTGAGCGCGCATTGCGTATGGCCGCCTCAGCGGTACCTAAGGGAAGTTGGCCGGGGCACACACTGCATTTGTTGGTTTAAGGCTTAGGACTAGGTTTAGGGCTAGCAAGATTTTAGCAACTCGTTTTATCCCAAATGCACAATTGTTTTTCTGCTACAATTAACGCTCATAACTTTTGTCCACAATGTTCCGCAGATAAGGAAAGCAGATTTTTGAGTAGCGATTTATGCTCTAATCTTATATATAAAGCTGAATGTCTGTTTGTCTGTCTGTAT